GGTCATGGTGGATGAGGACTTGTTGAGGAGCTTGCATGTCATGCTCGACTGTTTGTCTTCACCCACGCTGAGAGAGGCAGAGGGACAATACAGAGGGCCATTTACCAGAACATAACGGGGGAGTGAGTGCAGGCCTTTCTTCTTCTTACCACAGAGTCTACACCACACTGAGCCTACACTTTTCTCAGACTCCCCAATGATCTTTTTTAACTGATTTAGCAACACAAGAAACTGCTCTGGGCCAAGAGACACACTACACAAAGTACTTAATCAAATCACCTCAGAAAAGTCTGATGGAGGCAGTAAATTACCCGGTGACCTCTTCCTTGTGTTCAGTTGTTCCACTGTGGTGACACTCAAATACACCCTTACAGGGTCATATATGGACCAGGGACCAACCTAAACCTGTATACCCACTGTAAATCATAAACCCACTAAATAAATACACCACACGTGATGTTGAAATCTGCTTTTAGTGTAGCAGTCGCCAACTGTCCCCGTTTGCTTGCTCAAAGGCACGCTCTTAGTCATTTAGCAAACAGGCTGTTTGATAGATTTCGACGTTGTGCAATGAAGAGATATCAGTGTGACAAAGAGGTGATAACTGCTGTCCGCTGTCACACCGCACCACGCAAATGTGGGGGTTTGTCTTGCAGTAAATCATAAAGATTTATTGATTGAGAAACTTCTGACGCCTACAGCCACTTTGAACAATATTCAAGTTCTTCCCTTTTTTTTTTTTGTTTTTCACTAAGAATGTTTCCCAGGTGGCCCTCCACAGGCCTCTGTGGACCCATGTGGGGAGCCAGGATGCTCAGAGCTGTGGGAGCCTGTGTTGGGGTGGGACAGTCTCCCACTGCGGAGGTCAGGCCACTTCCTGCTCTGAGAGACCTTTGTCCCTCACAGCTGTCAGTGCAGTCAGAAGCCCACCTTACACATCTGCAGCAACCCCCACCCCCACTGCTTTTTCAGAGATGCGGAATATCAGTGTGTAAAAGGAGATGAAATGAGCTAAAATAACGCTCGAATCGACAGCAGGAAAAGGGTGAAGGTCCACAACACACAAATCCTCTGGAAATTAGACAAGAAAGTTACAGAGTTTTTGCTCCGTATTTTGAAATTGATTAATGAAGGAGAAATGACTTTTTCCGCCAAGACGACGTGAGGCAGTAAATCAAATGGGTGTTCCCAAGAATACAGTCATAAAAATGTGTATATTGGGCACTGCTAAAGGTTTTCAGAAAGAGGACAGCCTGAGAGAGGGCCCTTAAGGTACCCTCTTTAGCAGGCTTTTTGAGAAGTGGCTCCTCATTGTGCCCAAGCAATCGGTAATATCCCAACCGATGAATGTCTGTGCAACACTCACACGGCGATCGCTCGGGCTAGAAAAGGAGACGACGGAAGTAGGTGTTAACATATGTTTTCTATGGTGAATGTTTTCGCGTAGGCGGATGTGCTGACACGGTGTCACAGGGAATTCTCTTATAGAGGAACCAGCTGTGTACAAACATGTAAATGCAATTAGAGCAACGTTACAGATTGCAGAGCGACAGGCCTGCTGCTGCTAAGCCGACCTGTCCTGTGTTCGAGTTCCACATTCCTTTCCACGGTAACGCCGCCGCTTTGGAGAATCTGTGTTGTTTACAAGATGCAGGTACAAACGCATCTGAAATGAACGACTGGTTAAAGAGGTTTTCGTGTGTGGCTGCGGCAGGTGTAAGATGTCGAAATCCTCTTTAATAAATTCAAGAGCTTTTAAGATGAGCAAACGCCGTCATGGAGCGGCAGAAGTGAGCAAAGCGGTAGAGTCACCAAACGGTGGAAGTTGCATCAATTCCTAAACACACAGGGTTTCTCAAGAAATCTTCTGATCCAAGGAGTTTGCTGCAATTCACTGTTAACTCCCACCACTTCCTTCAGCCCGGCGTGGACTGCGCACGTTTCCAGATAGAATGCCTATGATTAAGATCTGAATTGGTGCCATTCATTGTGCTTGGCTTCTGTCTGCAGAGCTATGGGCGATTTGAAACACACACCCTTTGCTTAATCTGTTTAATCTAATGGCTCTGCAGTTGGGTTTGACGAGCTGCGGGCGTCAGGAAGGAATCAGCTCTCTCAAAGGTTTGAGTGGGCTTCTCACCACCGCCTTTGACCTCGTCCTGCAAGGAAACAGCTCAGCAATCAAAAAAGCACCAGCAGTCGGGAGGAAGAGGAGGACAAAGTGATGAGTGATGTCCGGGCTGCCTTTGAATCCTGGGCTGTTTAGGACATGTGAGACCCAGGAGAATAAAGCCCCATTGCAGGCTGTTTATGTATACTATGAATCCAGCTGATTGGAGGAGGAAAACCCTAACCCTCCTCCTTATGTGTGAGTGTGGTCAGGGGGTTCCACATTTCCCAGAGTTCCAGCGGAAGAATACAAAACTCCATCGGGTGGCAAAGTGATAGTGGGAGTGGAGAGAATTCCTGATGTGAGCCTCAATGAGTGAAAGAGAACCGAGAGGGAAAAGAGCACTTGTTTTGTTCTTGATATGAAACTGAAGTCATGGGATGCGTCTCCACCTGGGATTTTAGCCAGCAGAGGGTCAGTAAACCCAGAATGGGGCCTTCCACAGGCCTTGGAAGCTGAAGCCCAGCTCATTAAGAGTGTAAGGCTTAATTTTCAAGAGATGACAAAGTAGTTTGAACATCCAGTGAAAAATTAATGTAGACATTTGTTGGCACTGACTGAGCTCAGTTTATTAGCTTCCGGTGTTTTTCATTTTGGGAAAAGAGGTGAGACAAGTGTCAATATTGGAATGTTACTCACTGTTCACATCTTGTCCTGAGGTCAAAGTCTTTATGAAGCTGCTCGATAGGCAGGGTCAACTCTAGGAGGGCAACGGAAAAAGACCAAGTTTGGTAATATGGATGTTCCACTTATGATGATTTACAGAATGTGCACGTCATGATTTTGTTGTGAAGAGAGAGGGGGAGTGATGATGAAGCCCTAGCCCCCCGATTTCCTCACAGAGGATGGGAATCATTTTTCTCCGTCTGTCTCCAGTCACACAATAGTTTGGAATCTTGAGGCATTACAGACTCAGTCCCCCCCCCCCTCCTTCTTTCTCTCCTCCCACTCCAACCCGCCTCCCTTTCCTTCCCTCACTTCACTTACTCTCAGTTCATCATTTCCTGTTGAGTCACAGTCAGACTCAGACTGCACCATGTTTTACAGTTTACTGGTCCTTTCTCTGCTTACTTACCTCCACTTCCTTGTTCACAGATGCCTGTCTTCCAAAAGCCCTCCAGCAAAATCCAAAAGTGGAAGGAGGGAGCGCTGGAAAAAAGTCAAAGCAGACGTAGGTGTATCTTCCTGGCAACAAGACTGATTTATGAACCATATTACTGAAGGATCAAAGGATTATTAGCTCTGAATGTAACTCACCAGCTTACTCGTCACAGCATGCCATCAGTCTACATCATTAACGGAAAAAAAAACAAACCCTCAGGCAAAAAAGAAAAAAAAAGACACACGCACACAGTGGGAAGAAACAGAATTAAAAAAATCCCTCCTGAGATTTTGATTACCGAGTTGGATTTCTGACTTGTAAACTGTTTTTCTATGGCCGGTAGGCATTTGCCGACATGCCCTGATTAGGTGGGAGGAAGTGATGCTGTAGTGAGGTAAGGGCTTGTGTTTAACATGTTAATTGCATGCCTGTGTGTGAGGGAGGGTTGAGGGAAGGGCACGGAGAAACGAAAGGGCTCAGAAGTGGACCAGTTGAGTCATTGAAAAATACAGCTGCTGACTCAGTTGGCAAACTTGTCTTCTGGAGTATGTCGCCAGTACGTGCGGCATTTTGTGTAGGTGTCTAACCTGTTCTTTGTCCATGAGCAATAAACATTACTGTCCAGAAAGCGGACAAGGAAAGACAGCCACAAAGAGATTCTAATAATACTAATTGATCAAGGCTCGTGGTTTGAAACAAAAACTAACCATTGCCTCAGACAAATGACAGCTCCGGGAAAACCACGCTGTGTGTGAAGGAGTGCCCATTCACACCGATGCAGTAATCCGAGTCTGGCGCCAGGTCAAAGTTTTCCTGTGATTCAATCATTTCGTCACTTTTCTCTACACACCCTTGTTTCCAAAGTCATCTTAGAACTGTGACAATCCAATCATCAAGACAATGTGATCCTTCTGAGTGTGGACTCTGGGATGGACTTTGGAATTAGTCATCCTGGATGTGGTGTAAGGTTCAGAACTGGTGTTGTTGACATTATTGTGTTCAAAGTGTATTCAAGGACACCTCCCTCAATGATGGAATGTGATGATCTGACAAAATGGGAAAGCTATTAAAGCTGATTGTGATCATAGACCGTCCAGATCGTAGCACAGCATGAGTCACTGAGCTGAGAAGTTAAAGTGGGCGCCAGATAATTTACTTTACTTGATTACATAAGAAAACTGATGATCACTCAACTCATACATTTTTTTCATAAATTAAAAAAGATTTGGGGGTATTTGAAAGGAAAGTCTGAATGGAATATCTGAAGGATTTTGTCCCTGGGGGGATTATTGTTTCTGTTCTGGAAATAAATGCATAGCAGTGCCTCTTTGGAGAGGTATTTCCTTATTTGGGGCGACCAACCTAATTTCAGTACAAAACATACAAAAATAATTGCTGACAAAAATTATATTCAACGTGATTAGTCCCTCATATAGTGAGTACAGTTAGTAAAAATCTAACCATATTTGAGTAGCATTCAAATAATTCGCAAAGGTTAAGCAGTTTAGCTAGCTAGTTTTTGGCTAATTCCAAACAAAACACAACTTAACCTAACTTTTAATTCTTCTTGGCATTATTTAGTGAGATTAACGCTTATAAGCATTTCCCTTGTGACATAATTTCGCGACGTGCCTGTGTATTATTGACTGTATTTGATTATCGTAAATCAAACCCTCTTTCAGTTATGCTAGCAGGATTTAGCTGCCTGGTGCTAGCCTGAAGTGGATCAGCTGTAACAAGCCGTTACAATTCTAACCGTCAGAAATAAGCGTCCTTCATAGCCATCACCTTAGTTTTTCTTTTCAAGGTCTAAACAGACTAAACGACACCATGAGCGGGCCATCATTTGTGAGAAAGCCAGGAAGGCAGTTATTTATGGATTTTTGTAAGTTTCAGTTCTTTAGACAGTCTTATTTGATTCAAATTAAACCAGTCTGCAGCATTATTTTTATGTTGGAAACCAGCCTTTCAGATAGTTTTTTAAAGTTATTTGATTTAAAAACATTTATATTATGATAATAATATATTATATGAAACATGTTTGACTCATATGTTCATTTATGTTGTGTTTCCTAATGAAACACCCCGTTTAATGGCCACTGCAGGGGTTTTGGTGTAGTGTCATTTGATAACTACACAACAGAAATTATGATATGTGACAGCCTCCCTATGTTACAAATCAAACTGATGATTTGTCTTTGGTCAAATCTGTAATGCAGCGGAAGCGGACCTACACAAACTGCAGCGGCAGCATCGCAGAATGGAGGGGGCCAGGCGGGCTTCCATAGGTCAAACCAGGGGTCTCATCATCAGAGACAGGTAAGCCCCCTCTTCCTCCAGCTCCAGGGACATAGAGCCTTTAAAGAGATGAAATTATGTTCCCCGTCCTTGCATTGTCCTTTAAACGTAAAACAAACAAAGATAAAACATACAGTAATAAAACATGGATGGCTGCAAATCATGGAAATCTTCATGTGAATGTCATTGTGAGCACATATACAGTCATTTTCAAAAGTTTAACTTTTTTAAAAGATACTTTTATTGTCTTCGTGTTTCGTGTTTGTGTCTCTGTCGTAAGGCGAGAGATCCAGCAGCTTTGGGATGAACGTCAAGAGCTTTCACGCAGTCTCAGAATATCCCAAAGTGGTTATCACCAATGGACTGATGCCACTGTCCTTCAAGACCTCCATGCCAAGGTGGCATGTGGAGACCGACTGGATGATGAGCTGGAAGCTGAAAAGAACAAAGCGACTTCTTTGAAAGATCAAGTGAAGTGCTCTTTACTCTGGCCAATCAGGCAATGGATTTCTCTTGGTTAAATTTGATTTTAACCTCATTTGATCATTTTGCTTTTAGATTCTTGAATTAGAGAGGAAACTGGCAGAGCAAAGGAATAGAGGGGATTCTTCATGCTGCATTTGGAAGTTGGATAAAAGCAGCTTTATAAGGACAACACGTGTCATGGAAAACAGACTTCACAGGGTTAGTTCCACAGTAAAAATCCCCTGTTTCCTGCTGTTATGCATACGTTTTAGTTTGTCATTTGTCATATTTTTCGATTAGAGTGCTGTCATTTGTAATCAAATCCAGGACATGTTTTTATTGTAGGGCAACAAATGCTTGAATGATCAGATGACTAAGAATGGAGAGCTGAGAGAGGAGCTAAAGACGCTGCAGATGGAGAGGAGCAAGTTTCTCCATGTCAAATTTCAGCTAGGAAAGGTGTGCTTGGTTCTTTTGACATGTTTCCATAATTTCCCATTAAGATGTAATATCCTGGGTAACTGTAAGGAAGAGTCAGAATAATGCCTCCACTGCACTGAATGAAATGATTTTGTAGTAGGATATTCAAGACTGTATTAAAAGCTTTAAAGCTGAAAATGTAGCATTTGCTTTTGGGGACATAAAACTGATGGTATCATGAAACTTAAGACTTCATTCTGTAATATCTTTTCCAGGAGTTACGAGCAATTCATAGGAACATGGGTAACCTCATGACTAAATGCACAGATGCCTTTAATACCAGGTAAACCTTTCAGGACTACCCGTGAAATCAGATAGTCAGTCTCCTTAAATGTCCTGACATCAGCTTTGAGGACATAGTCAGAAAAGCTGCTGCTAGTTTATATCTTATTACTACATGTATGTTTATATCTGCTCTCCTTTTTTAGTACATCATACATAGATAATAGCTCAGATTTACAAAGCTAAGATACATCTACAACCTTGTTATGTCTCCAGTGTGAAAATCCAGGAAAAACAGAAGATATTGACTGACCAGGATGCTAGGGATATGGCTCAGTATACAAGAGAAATGTTCAGCTTGGACCGAAAAATCAGTCATTATCAAAGAGCCGTGGTTTTCCTAGACATCAAAGATACTGTGCACGGCCAGGACACCGACCACAGAAAAGGAAAAGGCATGCATACACACCACGATCTGTCCCTCAAAACATCTTTTTACGGGATATTGAATCCCTGAACTATTATAAGGACCCACTACACTGGGTTTTAAAGTAATGACTGGTTGTATTAAAGCAAGTAGTCGTCTCAAGTGTACAGAAGTTATGTCATTCTGCTGTTCTAGCCGTACTGCTTGAGCTTAATAGTTAAGCTGCTGTGTAAAAACTTCCTGGAAGTGTTTATTCCTCTATTTTCTTTTAATAGGAGTGAAATGGCCCTCGTTAGTATTGCTAACGTACTCCACAGCTTTTTGAAACAGGGAAAAGTTGATGTCTAATGAAAGAAAACGCAGTAGTGACACCTTGTGTTTGGAGACTGTTACTTCCTTACCTTGTCTTTTATGCCATTCATTGCATGTCATATTCTGTTATTCTCTTTTCTAACAGATTTTCTTATGTATTTGCCCAACTAAATTGTCACATTTTACCACATAGCAGACGCATTAAAACCACAGGAATCAAAGGAATGGAGTCTAAGCGATTTTAAAAGCCATCTGGCAAAGATCTTAACAGAAACGGAGGAAAGCGACCTAGACAAACTGGTCAGAGACTTTATAGAACGTAAGTATCCCACAAACATTACTGATTTAATCCAAGCTCCACGTTGTATTAGCGGTGCAGTGACGTTGCATTACCCTTCCTTCAGATGAGGATGTGAACTACACTTTACTGAACTTCATCAACTGTCAGCACAATGAGGCCGAGAGCCTCCGAAGGAAGATCTCCCAGGTTTGCGTTGTTGTCGTGTGTCTGTGTGCGCGGGGACGTGACTATTAGAGATGAGTTACTTCATGTTGTTTGTTATGAAAGCTTCACAGGGAGATGAAGGAGTTTGCAGCTGAGCAGCAGCGGAAGCAGGAACAGAGCGAGGCTCGGTGGAAGACGGTTTCCAAAAAGCAAGAGGCCACTGAGCGACAGCTGGGAGTTTATGAGCAGCGACTTGAGCTCAAAGAAGAGCTCTTCAGTCAGCTTCAAGAAGGTACAACTCCGGGCGGTCGTAGGTTGAAGCTGCCTCTGACAGAAGGAAATCTGCTTTCCTCTAGGTCTGAGATCGTTGCTTCAGATTTGCTACAGCAGCTCCGTGGCCTGTGAAAAGCTGGACTCCTCTGATGGATTCCAGGCAGAAAATATCTCACTGTGCCTGAGGATGGTGGAGGACAGAGTCAACGAGCTTTTCACGTTGCAGTCGTACCATCACTGCCAGAAAAACCTGAGCCCGTGGGTAAGTGGACCAAGAAAGGCATTTCCAGCCTTGCCTGTGTTTATTTGCACCATTCAGCTGTTTAGCATTCTCCAACCTCATCATCACTTTAATATCATGTCTTTAATACGCACAGAATTTCTGCTGCAGATCTTAAGAGTCACAGCTCAGGGTTTCAAGTGTTGGAATAAGAAAATGCATTCAAGGAAAAAAAAAAAGATTAATGCTTTCCTTTGGACTACTAATATATGTATCAATTTCAGGACACTGTCAGTCTCAACGCTGTTGCCGTCAAGCTCGTCGGAATAAAACCTCAAGCAGGAAAAGTGACCGTAACTGTGGCAAAACCTCTGTAAGCTGTGTTTTTTTATTCTTTTCTTTAACTCAGAAGATTCATGACATGATTTGTGCATATGTTTATGTAATAACTCAGCCACGACACAGACGTAGAGTCACTGCCGCTCGGAGCTGTGGAGCCCATGAGTAAAGAAGCTCTACTTTCTGCGGTCTGCAAGAGGGTAAGAAAAAAGAGCAATGTTCATCCTTTAAAATGAAGCAGATGGTGACAGTAATCGATGTGAACTTGTGAACATGTCAAAAAAGCGCCATCCTCTCCCTCGAAAATGATGGAAACTTCGTTGTGAGAGGAGAAACTGGCTTGATCCCCAAAGATGGAGTGGCTCTTTGGACCAGCTGGATACTTAGAACTGAAAACTACCCAAAACCTTTTTAAAAATTGAAAGTTGTACGTGAAAAACGTTTAAAAGTTCAATAAAGTGATGCAGTTGTAATAAGTTTCTCTCTTGAATAAAGTTCGATCAGTGATGTCTGCATTAGTAAAAAGTGTTTAATCAGAGTTTCTTGCAAAAACATTTACAAGAAAATGATTCATTTATCAAAGATGACAGGACATTACATTCACTTATAATAAGTCACAAACAGTATCCAAAATATTTCACTGTACACAATATTTGGCTCCTTCGTTTTTATCTGGATCATTAGACTCTTAGGTAGCTGTAAGTGACACTTGTTTTGTGGTCTAGCTCTGGCTACAGCTGCCACAGTGCACCACCCTGCCCTCCACTCTCGATCGCTCAGCCTCAAACACAAGCAAATGGCTCATCAGTGTCTCCTCAGGACCGGATCGAATCATGGACGGATCGTTGTTCTGTGCACACACACACACAATGTGCATACGCACAATTTTATATATATATATAGATATATAAATGTGTTCAACAATCCAAACAAATATCCTGAAATGACCACATAAGCATGTTTCTGAGCACTTACGGCCACAGCAGAAATAAAGGCATCCATCAGGTGGTAGTCCGCCCCACCGTGTCCACTCATGCCAAAATGGCTGGGAGCGTCACTACTTCCGGTGTGCTTTGTGGATCTCTGAGTCAGGAAGTCAAACACACGTATCTCATGGCCGTCATACGACAGCTCCCCCTGTGAAGACATTCAGACCACTCTCCATCTTGGACAACAAACAATGAATCGCTTTCAAAAGACCCAGTTTCATATACCGGTGTGAATTTTACATAGATAAGCATGCTGGGGTTAATAGTTGTTCTAAATTGGCTTTAAGACTGAGGGAGTATGAATGATTGATTGCTGTGTGTACCCTAACTGATGTCCGGTCACAACTGGGATAAGCCTCAGTCTTCATTTGACTCTGAATTATGGAAAGCAGATATAGGAATTGGATGTGTAGTTGTATTATGAATGTCTTTTCCTTTTTTCCATGCAATCTAGATTATTCAATTACTTTATTTACTAGTAGAAATAAAAAAACCCTGCTAACATTCAGTTGGCCGTCAGTCGACTGACTGAAGTGGTCGCCAGTCAGATGTGGTAAGACATTCAAGAAGCTAGTTTTAGCAGGCGGACCTGCTTTTTACAAACTACAGTGAGCACAATCCTACCGTGCTTCCATAGATGGTTGTTTTTCGCTTGCAGATCTCCTCAGTAAATGCCACCATAGAAAAGGCGGCGGTCAATCCTCCTTCAAACTCCATATTTACAACCTTAAAAAAAACAGACAATGAGGACCTTATAGTGTTTGCTTAGGGTGTTGGTAAATTGTGACTTTTTATTTGAACAAGTGAACAGACTGGATAGAGACAGGAAGTAAATAACAAAACAGGGGAAAAGGACACATGATGTTTAGAAAAATCTTGTTTCATATATTTATAAAAAAAATACAAATAAACGAAATGAATAAACATCCAGGATTTGTAGCATTCTTCAATTTTAGCTGACTAAGCATTTTACACAAGCAGCCCATGTAGATATTTTGACTTTCCAGTGGGAAGAGTTTATTTTTTTGTTGAAGAAACTTGACATGAGAGAGAGACAAGTTGTCTTTGGTTGTACTGTGGAGGTTGTCTCACCTGGTTACTGCAGACGTCGTTGTCACACTCGTAGACACAGCGCCCATACGGCCCAGACTTAAGTGCTCCAGTTACTGACTCAACGTCTGGGAATGAGTTCGGGCATATGACCGAAACTGGCCAACCAGTGTTTCCCTAGCAAACACACACAACGTTGTCTAAAATGTACAATATGCATTGGTGGTTAATAATTAGTTTTACTGATGGTGCATAAATGATAATTGAACATGATGACTGCAGAGTTTTTACCCTTTTCACAGCATCCAGGTAGATTTTGCATGCCGAGTATGGACAGTCTTTTTCAACTGAGCAGTCAAGACAGCGATCTGCGGCACCTTTTGGCTTAGGTAAAAAAGAAAGGAGAAAAATCTTACAGTCATATTTACTTAGCATTAATGGTTAAAAAATTCACAAACACTTTACAAAATCAGAGTCTTAAACAAAGCACAGAAGCAACAGAAAAGGAAAAAAAGTTTGATTTTGCAAACAGCTAACGATTGATAAAGATAAAATGTCATCACGATGCATGTGATTAGATGGCTGGACAATAAAATGAAGACAAAAAGCAACTAAGCTATGTTTTTTTTAAATACAAAGTTAAATAAAACCATCAGGGGTTCACAGCAAAAATAGGACCTCTTAAACTAAAAAAGAAAATATAATAAGAGAGTTCTTGTGTTCTACTTTCATGGTAGTGAGGGTGATGTAGAATGTAGAATACTAACCTTCTTTTCTTTTAAAAAGTGGCTGACGGATCCGAATGAAGACACTTTTACACACCTGCCAGGAATAAAAAAATAAATCATTTGCAGAATAAAAAAGAGATGTCCCCGTTTATCCAGAAAGACTGTGGCAGGAGGGCTGAGGGGTCTGTTTCCACAATCTGAGGTACAACTTCCAAAGGAACGTGTGCCCACAGTGTCCTGGCTGACAGACTTTTCCGGGAATTATCAGAGAAACTTAAGTGTCTTTTATTTTTGAACGTCGAACACATCTGGTCGGCCACCGGCTACGGCCTGATGTTTTACCTGCGTCCTCCGGCCCAGTGATGTATTAGGTCGATGTCGTGACACGATTTGGCCAGAAGAGCAAAAGAGCTCTCTTCTTCATTCCTCCAATTCCCACGAACAAATGAGTGAGCAAAGTGATAATACCCCACCTGGAACAAGTTGTTGGGACAATTTGTCGGCACACTTAGTGAGTATGATGCCTTTAGATGAATACATTTGAAAAACCAGATTAAAAAACTATTTTACCAGTGCTGGAAAAAAATGAATAGCTAAATATTTATATACAATACAAATATATGCAGCAATGCATGTGAAAATCTGTTAGTATGTTAATCTTTTTTTAATACATAGCCTTTTTGTACAACATGGAGTAGAGAGATTCGCACAATTTAGCTTATAATATTGAGGAGTTTAAAACGGTTTAGACAGTAACAATAAATCCTAATGGCGTATCAGGGCTTCATGTCAGTCTTACAGGTGTTAAATGTGCTGTGTTCATGAGGACGCACGCTTTTTGATGCCATTTCTGCTGTGTTTGCCCTTCTTACCGGCTCAAGATGCTGAATATGGATGACATCACCGATGGCACCGGCATCAATCAGCTCCTACAAAAAGTTCAGTTAGTTTTGAAACAAAAAACAATAATTTAAGAAGACCTAGAGGACAAAATGTGCAGTTAAACTGCAGGCTTAAAGCAGGTATTCAAAAGAAAATTTTGTCTAATCAGTTCCCTCAACTTTTACATATTAACATGAAATTGCTCTTTTCATTTTGATCATTTTACTTAATATCTTTATATTTTAAGAACAAAAAATTGTGATTTTCACATCTGTTTAATGCAAATTCTGTGAATGTTCAGTAAAGTTAACGATGTTAAGGCACGTTATTTTACAAAAAAGGTGTGAAATGTTAGTAGTTTTAAACATTAAGTGTTTGAAACATTCACCTTTATCTTGTGGATGACTGGATCGTAGCGGAGAACATGACCCACAGACAGCATCACACCACTCTGAGTGCAAGCCTCCACGATAGCCCTGCAGTCCTCAGCAGTTGTCTAAAAACACGTCGACCCATTAAGCATTAGTCAGTAAATAAGACATCAGTTTATGTGATCTCAAACAGCCGTGTGAAAGTTACTCCATGTCTTCCTTTACAAACACTTACTGCCATTGGTTTCTCCAGAAGAACATGGTAGCCCCTTTTTGCAAAGGCCACAGCGGGATCCTTGAAAACAGGTTTAATCGAACTATCAGTTGAAGAGCAATAACTCCCGAATAATTGATAAAAAAAGTAAGCAAAGTTTTTAAAGAGCAGTTACAGAAAAGATTTATGCTGGTTACCCTGTGAAGGCGGTCTGGGGTGCAAATGACCACGGCGTCTGCAAATTTCTCCTTTTCAACTATACTCTGCCAGTCTTCTCACAAAGAAAGAAAGAAGACGATTCAATCATGAAGTTTCAGGAAGATTATTATAATCAACTGCATGTTTTTTGTCATCAAAATCTACCTTCAAATACATTTTCACAGTCAATTTTGTGTTTTTGCTGTAGCTTGTTGCGGGCAAACTTTCTTGGATCAGCCACAGCGACGACCTGAAAAGGTGAGGAAGAGCAAGTAAATGAGCTATCAGAGGTTTTGTTTGGATTGCTTTTTCTAAAAGGAAGACAAGGTTTTGTCCCATGATGAATTTCTGTATTTTCTTTTTTTAATACTAACATTATGGATATACTTTTGTTTGTTTTTGTGGTGTGATACCATCATTACAAATGTCCAGTAAAGCTTTCATGGCTCAACACCAGGACATCAGGAGGATGCTGAGCGACCTATCCTAACCTGCATTCTTTTTGGATGGATGGATGCAAAGTGGGCATAGATTTCCCCACGACACCCAGCTCCAACCACGATGACGCGGACCGGAGGAGACATTGTGCAAACCTGGGAGCTGTGGCACAGATCAACACACAAAACTGAAACGAACAAATAGAAAAATCAATGACAACCACAAGAAAGCCGACAGTCTATCGCAATATCGTTATCAGAATCGTTGTTGGATCCCGTTTGACTTATTTAAACCCTACCTGTCTTGTCCCATAGGAGTGTCCGAACCCGGCTGTCGAACTTCCGCGTCGGTCAGCTGTAGTCCGCAGCTCAGGACGGCTGCGTCAGGTGCTAAAGTTTAACTGACGACTACAAGCAGACAACTTCTTCTTACAGTAAAAAACAGACAATAAACCGCCCGACATCTTAATGACGCCACCTGCAGTGTGCTGCATTCACAGCACCTCGTAAACGGACACTTCTTTTTGTCAAACCTGTCAGTTCTTGGACAAATTAATTATAGATTGCGGTCTTTCGTGTAACACGATTTGTAGGTTTGTTTTGTGGTGTTATGTTTCGCTTTCCTAGAAATCCTCCGGTCATTTAAAATTCAAGTCACATAATTGGGAGATATGTTATTACTACAGCTGTAGATAGCTGTCTAATCATAATGCTCATGTTTAAACTTTAAACTGCTTAAAAATTAATAAACTACACCCACTAAGTGACTGCATCCGATTAAGATGTCACAATTTGTCCAAACTACGACGAAGTCAATTCCAGGGTGAATTCGGTTCAGTTCGGGCACTATTCGTTAGTCTTCGTCACATTCTAGCGGAAGCGTCACTGGAGTCACATGACGCGTCTAGCATCGTTAGCATGAGCGCAGCTTTCTGGCAAACGTTAGCGACAATCAGATCAGCGACATTCTGCGATTTTAACTTGCTCTAAATCGCAGAGTAGATTAAGATCAGCATATACAATCCAGTTTAAGCCTAATTGTACAGCTATACAGCGTGGAGCGACGGTTTTGGGGTATATTTGGACATCTTTTTCAGGGTTAGCTAACTAACGTTAGCGCGTTGGCTAACACAACTATGAATATAGACAACGTAAATCAGTCTGTTACAACAGGAGTTCCTTCCACGACATCCTCAACTTCAAGTAATTGTATCACCAATGACAGTGCAACAACCAACACTAGCAGCATCCCTTCGGTCACGAGTAATGGTAATATAGTAATACTTTAGCTGATATATGTGTGGTCTTTGTTAAGTTTGTTTTACGTTGAGGATTGGAAATGTCTTTTTAAACATTTGAATTAACTTTATTCTTAAAAGAAAACACCACTTGTTATGTAATCTATTATTACTCCAAGTGACTCATTTTTGTTTTTGGTAAAAAAGTAAACTAAAAAACAGCATAAATGTTTATTGTGATATTTTCTACAGAATTTCTGTGGCATTCATGCACATCACCTTCTATTGTGCAACACCTGTTTCTGGACAGGGTTTACTTTTATAATCCTGTCAAATACATAACCCTTAATCTAAATGTATTGCTTCACTGCCGCAGCCTCAGCTGTTGCTGTGACTTCCACAGACACATCAGTCTCCAACGGCGTCTACGCTCCCGGTGGCATCACCAATGGAGATGTCAAGCCTGCGGTCTCCACCACGCCTTTGGCTGATTTCCTAATGCAACTGGAGGATTACACTCCAACTGTAAGTCATTGAAAACTAACTTGAAGGTGTCAACGTTATAATTAGGATTTATCCTGATATTAGAAGTGCTGCTATAAATCTAATCTAAAGAAGTTCCTTTGCATTTCTAGATTCCTGATGCAGTTACAGGCTACTACCTCAACCGGGCTGGTTTTGAGGCCTCTGATCCAAGAATGTAAGTGGAAAAAACATGGGCAACACGTGCAGATTTGTTCAGCCGTTACCTTTCAAGCAAACAATGTTGCCCTTTTTCCTGAAATAAATCTGTGCTGTTCATTCAAAGAATCTTGAAAAAGTGTAATTTATAGGTAGTAGCTGTCAATATTGCTTTTATTGTATGATTGCCACAGGTAAAATATGTCCAGATAGACATATTCAGTCTTGGTAAGTAAAGGGTTTATGTGGTGTTGACTATGCTAAGAAAACACAGAAGAAGAAGTTTTTGCAAAATATAGCTGTCTCCAAGTATCAAAATGTGGAGTCTAAAAAAAGGAAAATATGACCCTATCAAAAATATCCAGATCTGATGGAGCCACACAGCAGCTGATAAGTTGAAAGAGAACAGGCATAATTATGTTGGTCATAGAAAGAGCCTTTAATTACTTTTAAAACTTGGCAAACTTTCAGTGACACTGTTGTGTCTGTAAAGCTACAGGAATAGCCATTTCAACACACTTGTGTTTTTAAGTGCCATTGATTTGCCAGTAAAACAGTTATAACTGTTGGATTAGTTTTCATTAGTTGAAATGAAATGTCAGATCAACACTTTTATGACCAGCTTTTGAAAAGAAAAAACTATAATGTTTTTGTTTTACATCCCGACAGAATCCGTCTGATCTCTCTTGCTTCTCAGAAGTTTATCTCCGACATTGCCAACGATGCACTGCAATACTGTAAAATGAAGGGCACGGCCTCAGGAAGCTCCAGAAGTAAAACAAAGGTTCGCCATAATCTAACTGTTATAGCATATGTTCATATATTTATCAACACATAGTTAGTATTTTTTTTGTTTTTTACAAATGGCTATAATTTGTATTTGTATTTTTAGGATAAGAAGTACACGCTGACGATGGAAGACCTGACTCCTGCCTTGTCTGAATATGGTGTTAATGTTAAGAAACCTTATTACTTTACATAGGACATTTTTTTTTTCAAACTCTTTGCTTTCTTTAGTAATGATCCCCTTCTAACTAAGTAGAATCTGTCCTCCTTATTGCTAAATGTTTCTGCCCATGATTTGGAAAGACTTTTGTTGCATCGTGATTTTTGTTTTATTGTTAAAATAAAACATTTAAGAGAAATGTTGTTCCATGTGTGGTTTTACAGTTCCATCGGTCCTTTGCTCTCTAATGATGCAGTTTTGGTGTTTCCTGCTTACACTGTTGCAGTGATGCGATGCATTCGAAATCACATAAAGGCCTCTTTTGCTATTTCTCATAACTGGGACCCTGTTTTGAAGCTGTACACAAAATCTTCCTCAACCGTATTTCCTTGTTGACCATGTGCAATTGTGGTTTTCCTGGCCATATCTAAGCCAAATATACACATTTCATGTGTACTGGATATTCCTATTAGGGTCAATGGAGCCTATCCCTGCTGACTTTAGGCCAGAGGCAGGGTACACTTAAATCAGTCTTTCACAGGGCTTCTTACACACTCATTCATTCCTAGGGGAAACCTTAGAGTCCCCAGTTAACCAAACCAGCATGTTTTGGAATGGATGGAGGAAACTGGCGCATTTGCAAACTCCAGGCAGAAAAGTCCCCAACCCATGGGATTCAAACCGAGAGCCCTCAAGCCAAACATGATGATATCTTTTTCCTGCTTTCATTCTATTTTATCTTTTTTTGCTATCTGGGAAAGTTTAATCTGGAACTGCTGGTGAATTTGTTATTTATTTTTCAATTTCTTGAGGTGATTTTGCTTTTTTGCTTTAGAGAGTGTATCCCTTCAGTATTTAAAAAAAATTCTGCCCTGTCACATAACCTAACTCTAACATTAGTGCAGTTAGCTTCAAAAGTGAAAAAGCAAATGTCAATCAGAAGTTGTTAATACATAAAGACTACAATACATAAACTTTCTTGTAAAGAATTTTATGGGACTCATTTTTCCAATAACTTCTCCGCTCACTATGGTTTTAAAAAAGACATCCATTCACTCCAGCTCCTCACTTGACTTTGCTCAAATATCAGTTTCCAAAAGATCATGATTATCCCATGCACAATTGGCAAGTGAGTCAAGACAACCATAAATTATTATTTGCCATACTACTTGATTGTTATACTAGCAGGCGTTTACTATTCTCTGGTAATCAATTGTCTTTTCAAAATTCCAGAATGAAAATAACTGATTTTTCCACCCTTTTTTAATCTCTTAATGATGTACTGCAATAATTCCTTATCTCTTTTCATGTATCTCCTCTGAAATACTGTGCTTAAAGGCTAGTTTGCTGTTTTGTAGTGAACTGGTTGTCTGTTAAACATAAAAGAAAATCGAAGTTAGCCTAACGAACATTTTATTTAACAGCTAAGACAAAGGAGTCAACTCTTTTTCTTAATTCGCGCTTTGTGTCAGTCTTTTGAACCTGCTGGGTTTCCGTCTTGTGAGCCACCGTAGGTTTCCTGTCCTGTGCGCATGCTCTAAACGTTCAAATGCTTCTCGTGTAATTCGACAAATAGTTTATCTTTTGTGGTTTTAAAAAGCGGTCAATAAGTCACCATGTCCGTTCAAGCGTCAAATCCCAACAACCCTATTGTCTTCTTCGACATCACCATCGGAGGACAGGTGAGTGGAGAAAACAGAGGACATTATTTCCCCGCTAACGTGGACTCAACGTCGCAGCTTCCCACCGGTATCGCCATGAAGTTGTTTCAGCGTTAATTTAGCCCTAACGACCTTTGTGAACAGCATTTACCTGCTCTGGTTTGGTGAAATTATCTGATATAAAATGATAAACATAGTTGTTGATTTAAACAATCCACGGTGAGGATATGAAAGGATGACTTTGTTTTTGCCCAGGTGTTGCTTTGCCATTATCTATCGTTGCCTATTTACTTTATAACTGTCAGCTCTGCTCACCAGTGCATCAGAAACATCACAATAACTGGGTAATAAAGTTGACGTTGTCCATTCTAGTTTCGTTACATTGAAACTGAAGGGATTTTGAATGGCCAGAGTAACAAAAGTAGGATTTATTTGTAGAAACGTCCTTTTGACATGCCAGGAAGACAGTGAAGGTGGGCTGGACATTTATTGTTGTATGAAATGGCTTTTCTGATTTGACAAACAGAACTGGTCTGTTCAGTTCATGCTGCAGAATATTAGACCTCTTTTTTCGGTCACAACTGGTCGATACATCATTGGTCTTTGTGCTCTCAGTTTACGACTTGCTTGCTATCTATATGGCATGCAATTGTGGATTTTCACATTTTGGATCCATTCTGATGGCTTAAATCATGACGAAGTTGTGCTTGCAAATAATATTGAGAGCATTGTGGGGTCCGATGCTGAACTTTTCATGAAAGCCTGGATAGAACTTTGAACCTCTATAATTAGTTAGATGCTCCAGAGCTGTAAAGACAAGGTTGGATGTTTTTTTAACAGAAGGAAGGAAAAACAAGGTGTATTCAAATATAAATAGAGCTTTGTTTGTAGATATGTAATGAGTAGTTTTATTAGAACATATGTTGAAAGCGCAAACTCAACAAAAGACTGGACATTTTCCACCAGAGCAGTATTTAATAAAAAAAACGGAGGATGAAATATGTTTAAAAGCACAATTTACGTAAAAGATTTGCGTCACACAAGGAATGACCGTTTGTCAAACGTGGCTGCTGGCAGCTGAGACAGTTGCCTGCCTTGGCTCAAATGCCAGTAGATCTTCCACAAGCACACACTTTCTGGCAAGTTGCTGTGGGGGCCTCTTGTCTTGCTCTTCATCCAGAACGTCACACCGGCCAGGAAACTGTTGGTGCACTCCAGCCAGAGGAGGTTGACGGAGACGTACGCTGGCACCAAAAAGCCGCAGATCAGACAAGCCACCGACACCCCGAGATAAGGCATCCAAAACACCAGGAAGCTCAGCGTGAGGCTGAGCCACAGGGGCGGCCTGTCGCTCTCGGCGTATTTCTCCCCGCTGGCCTCCGTTTCCCTGCGCTGCGGCGCAGCGAGGAACAGGTCGCTGGTCTCGCCGCGCTGCTTCTCCCTGGCCTCGTACATGGTCTCGGCCTCTTTCACCCAGCGGGGAATGCTGGAGAAGAACGGCAGCAGGGCAAACAGCGACACCAGGAAAAGTCCCAAAATGAAAGTGGTGACTAGAGAGGACTCTTGCACCTCGCATACCAGCGCCTTCGGCCCAAACGCCGAAGCCAGTTCGACCAGCTCCGTGCTGACGGATCTCGCCGCGTAGACGGCGGCTTGCAGCCACACCAGCAGGGTGAGGACCACATTCCTGAGCACTCGCCAGCGCGCTGTGTGCTTCCTCGCCCACACGTCATCCAAGTAGTAATCCAGCGAACCGAGGAACATCATGGGCAGCGGCAGCGCTCCAAATGTTGCCGAGCCGTTGGCCAAGAGGAAGCAAACGGACAAGAAGGAACGCTCCGCTCCCAGAAGCCACGCGGCTGCGAGCAGGCATGTCAACAGGACGTCTGCCAGGAGAATGGACAGGCTGCACACGCTCAGAAAGCTGGTGTACTTTTTGTGGCTGCATGTGATGAACAGCACCGAGTCCAGTCCCAGCTTGACCAGCAAAAGAAAAAAGTACTTGTTGGTGTTGTCGACGGGATCTGCAAGCGTGTCATCCCACAGCTGGATGATGGCCAGCATTTTGAGTGGCTGGCTGGTATCTGGGGACCATGGAGATACCGCCGCCATTCAGATGAATGCGTCAGAGCTGTGTTCAGTCATCAAAGCTGCAAAAGATAACAAAACCAACTGGTTTTGTTAATAACTTTTTGACCTTGTACCGTGAACGTTTTATCACCTGATACGATGTAGTTCGTTCATACCTAACATGCTAGCTGACGTGGCGATGGGCCTACATTCGCAAAAGTCTTCCAGATCCTCCAAAATTTTTAATCAGAATTTATTTCTACAAGCGTCACATTCAGCTCAAAAATGGGTTGCGTCGAATGGTCCCAAAGATCTGCAGGAGCCCCCTCGGTCAGCATTAGGAGGATCAGGAGGACCCACACCTTATTGCAGATTTATGGTTCCACTTATTGACAGACTAACTTTGAGTTTTTAGTGCCTAAATAGAAAACAAATATCAGCCCCCCCCCCCCCACACACACACACACACACTCAAACACACTCCAGGACCGGTTGTTAGGTATCGCCGTGGGCGGGGGCCCATCCGTCTTTTCTTGTATTTCCTGTCAAGCAGGAAGAAGCAGGATAGCCCTCCTTTTGTACTGATTAACTCCCATTAAACTACAACTCAGTTCTCCTTTTGTGCATCTACACGTCTTTATCGGTACCGAGCGGAGCAGCCACCGTCACCACCTTTCATCTCTGCCTGATCTGTAGGGAAAAGCAAAGCGCCTTGTGTACCTGCCTGCTGGGGGTCGTCCTCATCCGGGGGCTATGAGTGGAGATTCCTGTCTGATGCTCTGGCCACTCTGAGCACTGTCAGGTGGACCGGCTCCCTTTTAAAGGCTGCTCCTCCTGGCCCCGCCTTCTTTTTTTCCTTTTACAAGAAAAAGAAACTAGTAAACATGTCCCTTTAGAATGATTTGCATGTCATGTTTCAAGCGGCTTATGGATAGAGCAGAACTCACGCTAACATGACATAAGTGTGAAACAATGCCCCGCAATGGATTTAGTTTAAAAAAAAAAAAAAAAAAAGTATGACACCATAGCTCCAGGTAAAGGCATCCAGTGTCCAATGTTGTCGGTTTAAGTTTCCAGTCCAGAAATGCTACCCTAATATGTTCGCTGAAGGCCATTGTGTGCTCTCACCAGGTTTATTTGACATGGATTTTTGCTTTAAAAAACGCCAGTTAATGGAAACATTAAAACGCATCTTACTTTGTTTTGGGCTCTTTGACTTTCAGCGGATGCCGTCCTGCTTTACTTATCTTCAATCGTCCCTGGAGATCATAGCGCTGGGTCACACTGTATAGCCCAGTTGGAAAAGATAGGAGATTGGATGGCTCCTTGTTTTACTGTGACTCATCTGCATGAAGCAAAGGAGTTGTTCAGTTGCACTGTTCAGACAAACCTCTCTTTGTGGAACAGCTGCCCTGTTTGCTCTTCTGCTCTTGTGTTTGTTTTCTCTTACACAAGCATACGTTGTTAAATAGTAAGCATTTTATGATTTTGTGATAAGCTATAGCTTATCATAAAGATACACGCACACCATAGATCCATGATTTATTGCCCTGTTTGTGCTTTCATTTGCAAGTTTTTATGATGATTTCTTTCACCACTAAAAGGGTCAGATCCACAGAGAAAACGGTTCCTTTTGCCGGAACAAAGCTCAATTCACACTTTCAGGAAGTATTTTTTTCAGAAGAAAAAATCCTCAGTGTTCGGTTGTGTGTGGTAATGCAAACAAGATCAAAATGACATAGGTGCTGTAATTTTCATATTTTCATATTTTGATGTTGTTGTCTTTTATTCCTTTAAACTTGTAAAAGTCTCTAACGCTGCTTTGAGAAAGACCTATACGGACAGCTGCTTCTTTAAAAAAAAGACGCACAAAAAAGGTTTCTCGTATTTAAAAAGCCATATTCAGGTCTGTAAATGTAGAGGCACTCCACAGGAAGTCCAAAATGTCGGCCGAAGCGTCCGAAAGGCAAGGCATAAGCGAACCGAGTGGCTGCTCCGGGCCCCACGACCACCAGGGGCCCCAAGAGCAGTGAAAGGACATTAATATTTACAATATCATTGAAGATAAATTCATTTTTCATTTTCTTTGTGCATTTCATTAATAATTCCTGTGAAGGTGAATATAATCTTGCAAAAATACGATTTCATGCAAATCTTAACCAAATATTAATGGAATTTCCTTCTTTTTTTCCCCAGTTGGCTGATCTGTTGTTTACTAGTGTTTCATTTATATTCCCAATGAAAGATTAGAAAAACAAATTAGTCCACTGCATGGTTGTGAATGGTCAATAATTAGTGCTCCAAAATCAAATTTTGCCACAGGACCCATGGAGGTTTGGACCGGCTCTGATCTGCTGGGCAGCTGGTCACCATTCACTGACCTGTGCTGGCATTTGTAAATGCCAGCTTCTTGAAAAAACAATCAGCTTCTTTCTTTCTTTCTTTCTTTCTTTCTGTCTTTTTTTTTTTTTTGTTGGTGTTGTTTTTTTTTAGTCCACTGTTTCTGAAAGTGTTCTTAAATATCTCTCAGGACGTGGGAAGGATGAAGATTGAGCTGTTTGCTGACGTGGTCCCCAAAACGGCTGAGAATTTCCGGTGAGGAACTAGTTGCTGTAACGGCACATCCTAGGTTCTGTCCATGTGCGATAGCCAGAGTCGGAAAGGAGCAATCAACACATTTTCCTGTGTCTTTTCCAGGCAGTTCTGCACGGGAGAGTTCAGGTACGTGAGCCAGTGTGCAGCCTCTCTGCGCTGTAAAAACCCAGCAGCGCTCACTCCTGGGAGAGTCTGCCTCAGGCTTTCCTCTGTGTGGAGTATTGTTTTTCTAATTTCATGTATGTCTCATTCTGTTAAAGCATTTAACTGTTGCCAACAGAGGTTTCCAAGCCATTGTGTCTCTGAAGAGGGAGGGGTTGTGTGTGTATGTGCGTGCGTGTGTGGTGGTGGTGGAGGGAGGGGAGACTTGACAACAAGTCAAGAAAAACGTGTCATGCAAATCAAATGTGCCGTTCCCCCCAATTTGACATGTTCTTTGTCCTTCCCCTCCGTCCACAGGAAGGATGGCGTTCCAATTGGTTTCAAAGGCTGCACTTTTCACAGGTATCCAGCTCAACAGGTCGCGTTCTGCTCTGGTGTGGCAAAGCCTCAGGGGAGTGACGCATGCTAAATGCTCTCCAGAGACCAAACAGTCACATCGTAGACCGCGTACAACTCAAGTAGTAAATGTGTTTCTGTCCCATTCTACTCAGTTGTTTTTGTAGGGATTGTTTAAATCAATTTGAGTCATATTTCGGATCATGTATATTTTATTTAGCTCTTCATGTAGATTCAGTTTTCATGCTGCTTGGTGTCATTCAAAACTTAAACAGAAGAAGAACCGTCACTACAGTAGTAAGACCCAAGATTATGTTCAGTTACTCAAAGCTTTGTTTAATTTAACTGTTAATCTAATTGTGGTAATGGGCTTTAAAGTAATTGAGCAAGTTTAACCAGCCCGCTTTTCTCTAGCTTCCAAAAATGCGAAGCTGGCCTAGAAACGGAGTCTGCCAGTATCAACAAACAAGAAGCCTCCAGCACAGTTCGCAATATTCTCCTGAGCTTACAATATCAAAGTAAAAATGTTGAGTTCTGTGTGAAATTTCAGCCAACAAAAAGATTTCTCCATCTAGAGAAAACTGACCCATTTGGTCGCTGTGCTACTGAATACAGTTTCTTTGTTGGAGGAAGGTGTGGCCAAGTATTCTCGTTTTGTTTTCCTTGAAAGTAACTTTACCTTCGGTAACCTCTTGCACCCGTTTCCTTTGTGCGCTCAGAAAAGAAATAATTTACTCTTAACGAGGCCTCAAAGGACAGCATGTGTGAAAAAGGAAAGCTAAGTAAATCATTTATTTGGAATACAACATGCACACACTCACACACAGAGGAGCGGCTCAATAAAACCTGTATGGATGCTTACACTTTATGTCAAATTTTTAAGCCGAAAATGCTGAGAGGAGGACTCAATTATAAAACCTTTTTTTTTTTTTTTTTTCCTTTATGTTCAATTATTAAACTTGGGGATGACTCTATATCCTCTTTCGTTCACCATTTCCCACAATTCTCATTATTTATTCATCCCAATGCAGTATGAAAAGGAGGACCCAGTGCTAACTGGAGGGCTTGTATCGTGCCATCAAAGTTCCTCCTCTAAACAAATCAAGTTTCGGCTTGAAAATTAAATTGCTTATTTGAAAGGATTATCTAGGCTTAAACATGGTTAAACACAGCATTACATGTCAGGTGAACGCTGTCTGTAACAGTTACCAGAGAGGAATAGACGTCATCTACCAATGAGAGGGTCTGTAGTTTGACTTCTGGCTTCTAGTGTCAAAGTGCTGTGAGCGTAGCTCCTTTATAAGTCGGTGGGACTACACATGCATAATTAGTATCTTTAAATCGCAAAACGCGTTAAAGTCAAGATAGTTTTACTGTTTTTATTTTGAGACATTTCTGCTCAGTCAAGTTCTTTTTTTTCCTGTAAGTTGGTGACCTTCTGCCTCAGGTTTATTGTCATGTTTTTGATTGTTCATTGACAGGGTGATTAAAGACTTCATGATACAAGGAGGAGACTTTGTAAATGTAAGTACACTTCTTCTGTGCCACCGGCGTAGCATTAGCATTAGCGTCAGCTCTTTGGGTGAGCTTTGAAAAGATTTTAGCGTTTTGCATTTGCTTGAGTTTGCATGTCTGACCTGAATCAGGGCCGCAGGTGCAAACTGCTTTTGACTTTGCCCCCTCTTGTGGTTGAAAAGTGAAAGGCATCCCTATTGTGCGGCCTGGTCTGTAAACTAAACAATATTTGCCTTTTTTTCCCCCTCTTCTTTTTTAAAGGGTGATGGCACCGGCATCTGCAGCATCTACAGAGGTCCTTTTGCAGATGAGAACTTCCGAGTCAAGCACTCCGCACCCGGTCTTCTTTCCATGGTATTTGTGTATCTTAAAGCACGTCAGGCCGGTCCTGGTGAACCTGGAAAGGATGTGCTTTGTCTTTTTAATAGTTCAACAGGAACCGATTCCAATTAACTCCCAATTTAATTCATTTCTCATGCAGGCAAACAGCGGTCCAGGGACAAATGGCTGCCAGTTTTTCCTTACCTGCACTAAATGCGATTGGTTAGATGGGAAGCATGTTGTTTTTGGTGAGTGAATCAACGCGGTGGAGCGTGCATGCGGGATTATTACAGCTGAAACATCATTTGTTTCAGATTTTTAAACGTTCAATAACACTCTTTCAGGCAAAGTGGTGGACGGTCTGTTGATCATGAGGAAAATTGAGGTAAGATCTCCTCCAGCTTATGCTGTTCAAACCACATTTCCCTTATTTGTGACCTGGATACATCGGTGACATGTTTTACACTGATCTATAAGTTCAACAATTCACAGGCGGATTAGGAAAATGGTAAAAGAAACAGGTCAGTAAATAAAGAAACCCAGTCAGCACGGTTTAATAAAGCGCTGGTAACGAACCAGCTAAGCACGAATACAGTTGGAGCGTTACAGACCTGAAGCCAGAATAGGCATGGGAAGAACCTGGACCTTTGTTCTCAGAATGGAGTGCTGGAACATGCCTCCAGAGTTCACTCTCATTTCCATCTGCTCTCCAATGGGGAAGTGTCACAACAAGTCTTCATTCAAGTCCACCGTCAGTTCAAAAAGCGCGGCGGTCACTGTGCCGTCTCTGCGTTGTTGTTTCTGTGGGGTTCCCACAGTGGTGGAGTGCTGCAGTGGGAGGGCCCTGTGAGGCCCTCCCAGATGTTCTGAGCTCCAGCTTCCTGTGAAGGATGAAATGTGCTGACCAGAACGAAGCTCCTGTTGTTGCCATCTCGAGAAAATGAGCGAAATCCTCTGTTCTTGTGAAGTATGTAACACCCTTTGGAGTTTTGAAAAACCTAGAGAGAGCTGGAACTCTGCAGAACGGCTCTTTTCAGTGTAGTTGAGATTAGAAAGTTCGATCACCTAGTAAATTACTAAGGTGTCTTTTGAGTTATTTTGAATTTAATTCACAGCCGTGATGATTCGAACTGTTGATGCAGTATTTCAGAACAAGTTTCCACCTATGGTGTATTTGGCATTTTGTCCTGTTTATGTATACAGTCATTTGAATGGTGACTTATCAATGTGAAGTCCCATTTCTGATTGACACAACAATGTTTTTGTCCCCCTCCTCCAACAGAATGTGCCTACAGGACCCAACAACAAACCCAAACTCCCCATCCTCATCGCACAGTGCGGGGAGATGTGATCCAGAAGCCACGCGTGAGGAATACTCAGCTTTACTTCAAGCTCATCAGCAAACATCCAGAATATTCCACTATAGTTTCCGATGTGGACCTTTTCCCTTACAGCAGATGGTTGGGTCGACTCGTTTTCCACAGCGGTCACTGACGGGAGACGATTGTAATTTGATTTTAGAATAAGTCTCGCTAAACTTAAAGATCAGTGGTTATTATTATGTTTCCCTCAATCAACACAGAGTTTCTGTACCTCATTTTGTTTTTGTCATTTTGTGTATCAAATATTGTCAATAAATTTGTACATTTTTATTCTCTCTTGCTTAGCCTTTAAGTTTGCAAATACATTATCCTTAATTCCATAAACACATATTAATTATAATTTTTGCCATTGGTGGAACTCATATGGTATTGTTGGACTAACTACTTCAGTTTGATGAAAACCACATGCCCCGGGGGGGGCCGAAATGTTTTGGAAGGCTTTAGGTGCTGATTTTGTCTTCTTATGTTACTGAGCAAAACAAACCAATTTCTTCTTGTTGAGGGGAAAAAATGTTTTGTTTCATTTCCAGGCTTTAAAATCTTTTTGGTTTCGAAGCTAAGACAACGTGTATTGGACACAAGAGACGGTGAAATCGAATTTAACCTGACTGAGCAAATGAGGACACACACTCCACTTCCAGGCAATCCTCTGCTTGAACTTGCATCTACCTCATGTATCCCTTCTATACAAATCCAAGCCTTTGGGCCCCCTCCCCCATCCGTGCTCTCTCTTCTACTGCCCTGGCCATCGTTCCTTCGACATAAAAGATTCCTTTCAGATGGAGTCTGTTCTTATGGAGGCAGGAAAAGGGTTTTTTTTTTTTTTTTTTTTTGAAAGGCCGATCTCTCCATGGGGAGGCTTTCTGGGGCTTATTTTTGTGTGTGTGGGAGTGCAGAGCTCTGCCGTTAAACAGCAAGCTCTTCACACATCGGCCAGTTCTCGTAAACGGTGCCAGTGGAGCATTAACATGACAATGGAGGAGGGGGCGCTGAGGTGGTGTTGTCTCGCACCCAGTCTGGGTCTGTCTGCTCTGTGCTGGTGGAAGTAGAGTTTCTGAATTCACACAGGATGACTTCAGCATTGGGTCATTACTGAGATAGGATAGTCAAAAGATCAGATTGTTTGAGAGGATATACATTGAAGTGTTTCTGAAAACCAAGTCTTTTTTTAAAGATTATAGAATTCTAGTATGTGTCCTGGTTGGTGAAAAAAATGTGTAAAGACATTAATTTTTCATGGCTGACATCAGCCTTGGCAGAATCGTTTTCTGCGTCAGTTAAATAGGGAGTGTGGGAATGTTTCAAATAGAAAGGAACTTTTATGGTTTCAATTTACAGTGAATGGAGTGTCAAAAGATGGCAGGTGTGGAAAAAGAAAGGCTGAGTAAATAATTTCTTGAGAATGCACACTCAACTATATACAGAGGATCAGCTCAATAAAACCAGCATAAATATTTACACTATATCCTCTGACGATATTTAAGAATAAAATCCTGAGAAAAGGATTCTAGCTGCCATGTGTTTTTTATTATTATTTCAGTTGTGTTAATATTAGTATTTCAGGACACTGTTGCTGCTTTTGAAATAAATGTCTTTCTTTGAGAGTCACAAAAACTGCTACTGTTGTTGGGGCAATACTGTAAACCGGATAAAATGGGCAATACTATTGTTTTTTTTTTATGAAAATATTCAGGTTTTCCCTGTCCTGTGTCCGAAGTTCTAATTTGTTTTCTTTGAGGACATATCTGTCTTTCAGGGTTTGAAAAATTGTCTGTGTAGTGTTTGGGATTTCTTTTTTTGTGTGTCCAGTCTTTTGAGGACTTCGGTGTCAGATTGTCATGCATATTTCACGTCATCATAACAAACCAGTTACTGAAGTTTTGTTTTTTAATGTTTAAGTAACTATTCATATACTGTCATAACTAAGTGTCATAGCTCTCTGCCTGACTTTGACATCACTTTGGGACGGTGAAAACAGACAGGTATAGTCTATCTGACCAATCAGTTAAGCAACATTTTCGCTCCAACAAAACTGACAGATCTTTTACCCAATTAGGCGGCAGTTTCTTCCCTGTTGCACGTTCCAACCAATCCGAGGGAGAGCTGGGCGGGTCTTCCACCAGGAACATTCCCCGGCTTAGTTACTCATTCTGCCCAGTTCGATCGGCAACGGGAGCGGAAAGAAGAAAGCTGAGAGCCCGAAGGCAGTAGCCCCCACCACCGCCGGCCCAGGTTACCATCTAGCACCGGGAAAAATAGCAGAGAGCCACTGCCGGCAGAAGCCATTACCAACCAGTAGTAACCATGAGCAGCGAGGCCGAGACACAACAACAACCGCCGCAGCCTGCTGCCGATGTGGAGAGCCCATCCAGCCCGGCAGCCGCAGCTTCCGCGGGGGATAAGAAGGTCATCGGTAAGACTACTGGAGCTAGTTAAGCTAACGTGGCTGGTGGTACGGTGCGGCGATGCGCTAACGTAGAGGCTGCTATTCCTACCCACACGGTTCGAGGCTAAATTTTACGGTTGTTGGACGTTCTGACATGGCCGTTGAGTCGTTCACGGTTACATTGTCTGAAACAGAAGGAACTGAATTAATATTTAATTTACCCAACGACGCTATTCTCATTTTTGTCAATAATTGATCATGTTAAAGGACTGCTTTCGTCGCGTTTGGTGATTCCAGACGAAAAGTTGATTTTTAAGATAAATCAAATGCATTTCTTGTGTTAACGGCCAGACGTTAGTGCTGCCGTTTAACGCTAACTGACGATTTATGATTAAAGTGTCAGTTGGCGGATAATGCGTGTCTTCATTTTACCCTTGATCTGCATTTTTTTTTTCAAATTATCCTTTTTTAAGAATCCACAGATAACTTTCACACTGGGTAATGTGTGAATATTGTAATAATCCAAGGATTTCAGTTAGTTAATCTCCTCAGTGCATCGGCCTCCGCACGTCAAATATCCACCAACCGAAACCAATGAATGCGACCGATCGTCACATGGACGATCGTTAGAATTTTTTTTTCCTGCTGTGAAGAGCAGTATGTTTATATCCCCGCGTTATCGTCGTTAAAATACAGCAGTTGGGTCCAACGGGGTGGAATTGCAACGATTACAAGTATTCGCGTTGTAACGTGGGACGTTGTTTAATTGAATTCCAAATATCCTACCAGGCTACAGGAGTTAGCCGCTTACCATCCCTTTGTTCCAGCGGAAGAATTATGTTTAATGCAAGTATTTTACCTAGAACAGTAGAAACATTCGCATTATTCAGGTTGACTTGACCAGGGTTTCATATTGGCACACCAATCTCAGTGTCCCCAGATACAACTGCCAAAGGGTGTTGAGTTTAGGTCGAATTTGTGGGCTATTACTTTGGCCTACGACTGTGCGATGGCTCGATAGCTAACGAAGCTATTTTAGCACAGCTAGCTAACTGTAGCCAAATACATGGCCGAAAGGGCCACCCAAAATGTCCGCCTCGTGAGTCTACTGACATTTCTTCCTTAAAACATCTCTGCGGTCGTATCAAAATAAAAATCGGCACCACGACCACGTGTTTTTTTTGTTCCACAACAAAATATATTTTGTCCCATTATGCGTTGTCTGGTGTGTTATGTTTGTTTCCGCCTGCTGGCCGTACTCCAGCCACATGGTTGTTCCGCTCTTAGCTGAATGGCTAAGCTAACACGTCAGCTAAACGCGCTGCTGCTGGCTAACGTATCCGGGTGCGACACTACCACGTGTGGACGCTCGCGACCACGGGCGTGCGTCTGAAAATGGGGCAGTAGGTCTGTGGCAACAGATCGAATCATTTCAGAGCTAACGGCTCGTTTGTTGTTATTTTCAACAGTTCTAAACGTTGCTAAAGCCCCACGAGACAGCCTTGAGCCTCGACGAGGATAATAAGGAATCTGTAAATCCTCATAAGTAATTAGTTATCTATTGGCTGAGAGTACTTCATGCCTGAACTCAAGAGCAGCTGGCGCTCCTCAGCATCGAGATCTATTATAAGAGTGACAGTTGGGAGTTAAATATACCTTCCACATTATCTGTGGCCATAAATATGTTCTCATCATCCTTATGTTTTATTTTTTTTGTGGATTAATTGTGTTTACAAGTTTTTCAATGGCACTCAGTATATAGAAAGTTCTGTTTAGATAAACTTTTATTTAGCTGACACTGTTTTTGTATCTAAAGTTTGATTTGTTGAATAATTAATTGGAATTTAATTTCATTACAGCAACAAAAGTCTTGGGTACAGTGAAATGGTTCAACGTCAGGAATGGATATGGTTTTATCAATAGGTAAGTGAACGCAGCACATTTCATCTCACAAAGACTTGAAATCATTTATGTGTGTGTTAACGAACATTCTCAATCCTATTACACTTGCGCGTTGCTTACCAAAGCCGACCAGATTATTTTTTCTGCTGGTCTTCATACGTTTGTAATATGCAGGACTTAATTAATCCTGACATTTGCTGACTTAGTTGCAATCTGTCTGCATTAATGTGGTGCAGGACACTGTTAACTCTGGTTCCGTTTCTTTCGTTTAGGAATGATACAAAAGAGGACGTTTTTGTACACCAGGTAAGTTGATGTTAGTTTAAAATTTTTTTTTTTTTTTTAAAGAATGATTCTAAAGTCTAAAGACTGAACCATTTACGATTTCAGACAGCCATAAAAAAGAACAACCCGAGGAAATATCTTCGCAGTGTTGGAGATGGAGAGACCGTGGAGTTTGATGTAGTAGAAGGGGAAAAGGTATGTGTTTGACATATTTGTCTTTTTATCTCTTTCAACTGAATGTTCCTCAAAATGAATCCTTTTATTTCTTTTTTTTTTGGTGCGCAGGGAGCAGAGGCAGCAAATGTCACCGGGCCTGGGGGTGTGGCAGTCCAGGGAAGTAAGTACGCTGCTGACAGGAACCGCTACAGGCGCTACCCCCGGAGGAGGGGCCCCCCGCGCGCAGGAGAATACCCGGAGGGCTACCAGAGCGACGGAGAGGGCGAGCCTGGCAGCGGAGGACGCGACAAAGGCAGCAGAGAGGGGGGGGACAGCGCCCCCGAGGGAGACTCGCAGCCGCCGCAGCGCAGACCCACCTACCCCAGCAGACGGCGTTACCCGCCTTACTTTGTACGTAGACGCTACGGCCGCCGGCCCCCGTACACCAACGCACCACGCGGAGAGATGGCTGAGGTACGCCGACACAGGGCTTCCATCCTGAAGCAGGCACCCAGTTTTCCTCTGACTAGCAAGGTCACCCAATCATGCAGTCATGATTAACAAAAAAAACCTTTAGGCCTCTCCTTTAATGACGTGGTTGTGATCTTGGTGTACCGGGGGTCCCGATACGATTTGAAGTGGATGCAAACAGGCCTCTGGTCTTAGCAGAGAGCGGCATCGCCCCCACTCATACACTCACACACTCACACACACACACACACACACACACACACTCAGAAGTTTGCCAGCGCCAGAAGGACCGGGCCGTGCGTCACTGTCGTTTGATCCGTTTGCTTTCAGGGAGGCGAGGGTGACGAAAGCCAGGGAGGTCCAGACCAGGGAAACAAACCAGTGAGGCAGAACTACTACAGAGGCTTCCGACCAAGGTTCACACCCAGGTTTGCATGTTGGCTTCGTTGACTAAGGGCGGCAGTAACGGCAGAGAGGCGCGTTGGCCACACAATATGAGCCACACGTTCGGCCATAAGAGCTCCTCTTACTGCAGCCTAGCCTCAAACTCCAGCCGTGCATCCCCCTTTTTTTTGCAAACAATTTAATTTTTTTTTTACTTGTTCAGCTTTTTCACTTGAGCTAAACATCCACATCCGCTCTGCCCGTCCGCTCTAGGGGTCCACCACGTCCCAGACCGGTGCGGGACGGCGAGGAGGACAAGGAGAACCAGGGAGGCGAAGGTGGTCAGAACCAACAGCCCCGTCAGCGGCGCTACCGCCGCAACTACAACTACCGCCGCAGACGCCAACAGAGCAACGGCAAACCCGGCCCAGAGAACAAGGAGGCCAAGACAGGTGACCCATCTGCAGAGAAAACGTCCGCTCCCGAGGCCCAGCAGGGTGGGGCTGAGTAGGAACACACCTGCCCACCGGCACCGACCATCTTTTACCATCGTCCGGGTGAGTGGACGGGCTCGTGCATGGGTACGGGGTCTTCTGGATCCAGAGGCTAAAGCCCTCCTCCTGTTGTATTATCGTCATTGTGGTTTCGTCAATTGATTTGCAAACCCCTTAAGCAATCAGTTGACTAATTTTTTCTTCTTTTTTTTTTTGTCTTTCAGTTTTTTTTGTCAACAAGAAACATCAAACAAGATCTGAGCAATAAAGATTTGACTTGACGATCGTCACAAGCTTGCACCATGCATTTGACCAGAGTGTACCACCGATTGCCTGCAGAATCTATGCAGACCTGTGTTTTTTTTTTCGTTTTTTTTTTTTTTTCTTCTCATTATTTTTATGTGACAGCTACAAAGTTTTGGGGAAACTACAAATGTTTTTCTAAATCTGTCCTAAGTTTTTACACCAAATGGTTTTTAAAGATAAAAATGAAATTTGATATCTGGTCAGTTTGACATTTTTAAATAACTTTTTATGTATTCAAACATTTTAACAAAATGCAAGCTCAAATAAAACTCCAGAAACCAGGAAAATGGTTGGTAGTGGTTGATTCAAGTTTGATTTTTTTATTATTAAAAATTTCACAGATCACAGGTTTAGTCTTATTCATTTCAAAGTATTGTTTCCTGATGCGTTACGCTACTAGTATATTTTAGAAAACTACACGTTAAATGATAAAAAATTATCACAGCAGTCAACTCAAATAAAGAAGAGTGATACTTGGCTTCAGACCCATCTTTAGGGGCTCAGAACAGAATCAGATAAAAGCTTTATTGCAACGTATATTTTTCAGACATACAGAGAGTTTGGCTTTTTGCACTCAGCCCGTCACCCTGATACTTTAAACTTCACTCCATCTGAGGCGGATATTTACAATACAGGAATGGCTGCAGTCTCAAGAGTGGATGGTGACATTTTAACAAGCTTTAAAAAAAAAGCACAAACTGCTTTTTAGATTCACACCAAGTTTGACCCGTCTGGCAGAACACAGTGAGGAAGAAGCTTGAAGCTGTGCATCCCGTCTTTGGTTCTGGATTTGTGGACCACTGTAGAAGAAATGATTTTCCATTGTTCGGCTTTAATTTACCAGCAGCTGAGTTGAAAGAAAGGGGATCATTTGAGTATTGGTCTGTAAGTGTGTTTTCTTCTTTTAATCCACTTTGGCTAATTCCATTAGGACGGCGAGGGGGCGGCGTGTGGTCACTCAAACGTTGGTCTCCTTGCGCAGCCGCTTCATGCGTTGCACGTTGCTCTCCATGGCCGTGGGGTTGGTGATCTCTGTGGCACAGCTGGCGGGAAACCAGCCCCTTCCTCCATCCCGCATCCTCTCTCCGTAGCACCACGCTGCGAAGAACAGAGCACTTAGGGGAGCTCCCGAACCCTTTAGAGGACCAGACCAGCGGACGTGAGCTCACCTTCCTCCTTCTGCAGGACGATGACCAGCTCGGCCTGCCGCAGCCCCAGCTCGTCCGGCTCCTTCGGCATGTAGGCCTTGGTGGCCTCGTACTGGGGCAGGCCTGCAGGGCATTCACACAATCTACTGAAATGTGTTCAGAGCTCATTTAAATGTGATCTGAGGAAGAACAGGACCTATCTCTGATCAGATTTTTTTTTATAGCTGGAGGCTTACATGTGATTGTTACTCCTCGGTTTCAAACGAAATGTTTGACAAAGTTAGTTCACTCTGGGCTTTCTCAGCCATCCGAGCATCTGCCTTACCGTCTGTGCACGTGACACCCATCTGCTTGTGCTCCGTTAGCGCCACTATCCAGCGTGCACGGTCCACCCTGAGGGGGGGAAAAACCATGATGTCTTTTTCCGATGAGAGCTGCAATGACTACGGTCAGCAGAGGGAGCCAAACACCAAAAACACACACGGTGTCCAGAGAAATGTGGGGAAAGATTACAGCTACGGCTCGTTTTATTACCAACAGTTTCCTAGAGTTTTAGTTTTATGAACCCTGTTTAAATCTACTGTGGAATGGGGGGGCGGTTACAGACGGGGGTGGCTGGGGGCAGTGCTACCTGGAGGCCGCCACCAGGGAGAGCTGCTCCGATCTGCCCTCGCTGTTCTTGCTCATCCGCAGCTTGAAAGAGAGGTGACCCGTGCTGTTTTTGGCGGGCGGAGACATCCGTCCCTCTGCATCCTCGCCCACCTCCACCTGCACGTTCTCCAGCATGTCGTAGTCCAGCACTACAAAGCTCTCCTCGCTGCGCACACAGACAAAAGGTTCCTGCGTCAGCACACAGAGACACTCTGAGATAACGGGGATTTAAGCACACATGGAGCCCTCCGGCCACACTCCTGCGGGAACATGTGTGTCTTTTACTTTCCCGCCCGCAGAACCAGGCCAGGCCGTGGACTTTGCTGACGTTAGAATGACTCCAGCGCAGCTCTTTTCCTCTGAGCCCACTTTGTTTGCTTTCTCCCTAATTCAAAACAGATCGCCGCGCTCAGCCCGAGCTGACAGGCAGAATGCAAGATTGAAGAATCTCAAGTATGCACACCCAGCATCCCTCCGCTCTCCTGGCTGTGGCGCTTTGCTGTGCACTTTGCTCGTGTTCCCTGTTAGCAGCTGGATCCATTTGGGTGAAAGGTCGGGCTGAGTCACCCACAGCCCCCCCCCCCCCAACTATGATGACATGCATCACATGTAAATTCTTATTCAGAATCTTCTTCAAGCTTTTTCTTCCAACGTCCAATCAGCTTCCTATTCATTCATAAAATCTGCTGTGCGCTCGCTGGATGCAGAGTTGAATTTTGGGGATTTTGCTCTATAAAAAGGCAGAAATCTGAGGCTGTCATCTTAGAACGAATGCCGATAATTGGGAATTAAATGGTTAATTGGCTTAAATTGAGTCGGCGAAGCCTCCCGTTGGTTCGTAGCTCACACTGTCTGGGCCTTCACCGTGCCAGTTTGCATCTTTTCTAGTCTGAATTCGCCAGGTGGGCGAGGAATGCGAGCGGCGAGCTCACCTCTTCTTCCTGGTGACGATGAGCACGTCGTTGAAGAGGAACAGGTAGTAGCTCTTGTTGCTGAACGCCCTCCATATGCTGAGCTCCTCGGCGGAGATGGCCAGCTCCCCGCGCTTCTTTATCCACCGCGAGGCCGACACCAGCGGGAACGGCTGCGGGGCACAGGGGTCAGCAAACGCACCACGCCGCGCCCTCCCTCCCCTGCCCCGGACCAGCGGCCGCTTTGGCCCCGTTAGGCTCCCAGTCCCGGGAACTCTCCCTCTCCTCTGCTCACAGGTGCCGTTACCTTGATTTTTCCAAAATCCATCTGCTTCTGGATGGTGTACATCTGCTCGGTTCTCTCCATCCGCCGGGCCCCGTCATTGCAGCTGGTGACCAGCTGTTAAAAGACAAGCGTGGGACTTACAACCCGGAGACGGGCAGCATCCCAATGGATCTCCCCCCCCCCCCCCACCGCCTCCAGGTATGTACCTTGCTCATGGCGTTCAGCGCCCAAACGGCAGCAAAGTACTCTGCCGTGTTGGCTGGAGTCTTCTGGCAGATGGTCTGAGGACAGAAAACACACGTCCTCAGCATTATCCACTTTGGTTGCAAGATAGAGTTCAGCATATCAAGGATGAAGATTTAAAAATGTATTTATCAAAACCGCAAAATGAAATTAATGAAATATCTTTACATTTGAGTTTCATTGTGATACTTATATCACAATATATGGTGGTATATTGTGGAAAAAAACAAAAATGTGAGGTTTATAACTCATCTGATAAAACAGCAATTAAACTAACTTGTTTATCTGTGCAGAGATGATGGCTAAACTTTCTCCCACAGAGAAGGTCAGAAACCGCAGAATAACAAGATCCTAAACACACCTCAAAATCCAATGGGGACCAAATCACAAAGTCTAAGCTAAGGTTTTTGACCTAACCCCCACAGGGCATGGCAGATAAAAAAAAAGCCTCATGAGATCCAGCTATTTTTTTACAGAATGAAAAAATCCTCAGCATTCAGATGAAGTGTTGCCCCGCCCACACTTTGGCTTTGTGACCTTTTCCCTTTCTCCTAATCTATGTTAGAACTAAATACTGTGTACTGCTTGATAAATCTACGTCAAGGCCGGTGTGCCTTTCGGAAGCCGTGTGTGATGTGGCTGCTCTGGCGGTGGGTGGGGGGGGGGGGGTTTGAGCCTTACGTCCAGCAGCAGCGGGAGTCTGGTCACCCGCTGCATGGGCAGGATGAGGAAGGACAGCATGGGCAGGCCTCCGCATTCGCCGCTGGCCTCGATCTTCTTCAGGGTCTCTTTGAAGGCGGCGTTGTTGTTCCTACGAGCGAACAGAGAGAAGGTAAGCCGGCCGGCCCGGCCGGGGGCACGGCGGCGGCGGCGGTGGGTCGGGGGTCCTATGGGGGTCTCACAGCAGCGCCTGCAGCGTTCTCTGCTGGAAGGTCTCGTTGGAGCAGTAGACGATGTAGGGGTCGAAGTGGTGGGACGAGTGGTTCTGAACGATGTCGCTGATTTCCCGGATCACTGGGTTTTCGTTGTGACGTTGTTCCAGATCCTCAAAAAAACTGTGGGGGAGGAAAAGTGAAGAAGGTAGATTTTTTTTCTCCCACAGAGATTCCACAGCACAGCAGGAAACACAACTTTTAAGTTCAGACTTACACAACGTATACACACATGAATAAATGATGTTTTCTCTTCATTATCTGCCTCATTAGACAGTTACAACCATCACATTGAACATTAAATACTTAATGTTAATGTTTAATAAGTATTAAATAAAATACTTAATTTAATACTTATTCAAATCTGTACTACATTTTTCTGCTGTCATGCTATTATGAATTAATATACTAAAGTCACATTTCCTGAAACCATGATCCAAACGATCCCTTCTGCCAAACCCTTTTAAAATCCTTTTCACTTTTAACAATACGAATGAGCCTCAGCCTGTCCCTTCCAAACATACAAAAAGAGTAAAATGACACCTAAAGTGCAGCCCCACCTTGGAACATACTACATGTGTCAAAACAGGAGCTGCCCGACACCTTCTGCCCTCTGTAGTTTCACAGATCCTTTCCTACCCTCTCAGAAGCAAAGACCAAACACAGCTTCTTACTTTATCGCTTAAAAATGTATGCATTTTAATCCTTGTGGAAAAAAATAAGCTACACAGGAAGTCTGTCCTCTAAAACATTATCATCTTGAGATCCGGGAATACCACCCACAGCAGAGTGCTGTATGCAGCAGAACCAGTTTGGCTTACAGGCCTAAACATGTTAATGGAGCCCACAGGATACTAAAGAAATGCTAAGGGCAAGTACTCAACCTGAAACTTCCAAATCGGCCTGGTTTCCCCAGCGGGGACCACAACCCCGGTGCGAATAAAAAAAAACAGCATGACAAGAAAACTCACAAAGGGAACGGCCTCTCCTCACTCTCTGATAGCATTAGTGGGTCTCTTTAAGGAGGAAATGACCATACCAAACCATCTGGTATTTGTGTGCTTTTAGCATGCACGTTCACACACACATATTTGGGAATTTTACCAGAAAAACTGACGAATAAATAAAAGCCCACACATCTACAGGAGCATGTCACAATGCATTGGAATGCATCTTCATAATGTCTCTACATAAAGACAGGATAAAGGACTGGCATGCTGACCGTTGGCTGATGTTCTGGATGACGGAAATGTTGGAGAAGAGGTGGTGGTGCTCTGTGGCCGTCATGGTTTTCCTCAGAGCCTCGCTGCTCTTGAAGTGACGCACCAGGATGCCCAGGCTGTGCAGGTACGAGTGCTCTGAGGTGATGATCTCAAAAATGGCCTGAGGAGCAATAATAAGAACCACAGTCAAATTAACGCGAAGGCAACACTCTCATGTCGAATCAGCCAAAGTGTTTGGCTGATTCGACACTATCCAGTGTTTTCCATTGGATAGTCATCATTAAGCCATTGGAAAGAAAGTTAGCCACTTTAACACGGTCATTTATTTAATCACATAAACATGTAAAAATGGGAAAATTGTGTTGTAATCCCACAAAATAAATTGAAATGTTCCATTTCTGAGTAAATCTAAATTACTTTTACCGAAAACTAAGAAATAATTGTGTCAAAAAGCTTTGAGCAGAAGGAGAGGCATTGATCAATGAGATCTTTTTCCATACGTATTGTTTAATGGACATTGTTTAATGTGTTGCTGGTGATACGGAACTAAACACAGTCAGCTGTCAACTAAACGCTTTCAGAATGTTGTAAAGGTGGCAGATGGATTAATAAATTAAATTAAAGGACTTTCATATTCAGGCTTTAGGTCTAACAACATGAATTAGCCTGTAAAATATCTCCAAATCAAGATGGTGAAGCTAAGAAAGTTTCAGTACAGCAACACCCTGGAATTTCTGCCTGTATTTGAAATCATCATGAAATCTGAACTCAATGCTAACATTCGAAATATATATTCTGGAAGCCTGCTAAACTTTCCCTTTCAGAACGTCTCTGTGAGAAATCCCCTGTGTGTCACTTGACGGTGACACACCTTCTAAAACCTTAAAGATCCATTAGTTCGCAGAGGACCAAAGTGCATGAACTGAGCCGGCACCAAGAAAAGCACCGTCCTCCTACCACGCTCAGTTTAAACAAAATATCCACAAGAAACTTCCACTGGTTCCGGGAAATCAGAGTTTACACTCCTATAGCCTAAAAATAAGTTCCGAGATGTTTCTAAAGATACAAAAGACAAAGTCAGGGACAGCCAAAGAGTGCTTACAGAGGCAGGGCGTGGCTTTATTCAGCAACTCAGAGCACACAAGGTGGACCTTTGGTATTGACACAACCTTAAGCATTTCAGACAGCTGGTGGGAGCACATAACAAAGGGACAATCCTCCCACAGATACTGTTTCCCAGTCCTGATAGTCTGGAACTGTGAGGTCCCTGTGATGTCATTTCTATTCAGTTTTTCTTGTTGATTATCTGATTCGGTTTTTACATCAGAGGGCAAACGTTGTTTGGAGATATTTCAGCATTATCTGGTGTGTCAGGCCTCTAAGACCACAAAAGGGATTTTTTCTTTTCCCATATGGAACTCATACCATGCCACCATAAATCACAGCTATGTAAAGGCTCGCCATATCACTCAAAAAGTACCGCACAGGGAATCATTTATTGTGCTTACCGTTCTTGATTATTTGCCCTGAACAGCCACGTCTCACTGCTTATTTAACTTTTTTTTTTTGTATTATTAGTAGTTCTTCTGTCCACATTTGAGGGTAGATGCTGCAGGTTTTTACCGTTAGGTTTAACCGCTCAATTCATGTGTTAAATGCGGAAACACGCACACACACACAGCACTCACCTCTTGTCTCTTTCTTTCTTGAGGAGTGATTCTTGATAAAATATCGGTGTCCTTCACCTTTACAGGACAAAAAGACAAACCAAAAGGTCAAACTTGGGCTTTTTTCTGTCTGTGATAAAGAAGCTGGCTGATGCTGTGATGTCAGGGAGAGCTTCTAAATAGTTTTATACATATACTGTATGCAGAGCAAAGAAACATTTAAATCTTATTATTATCATTTCTATTATTATATCAAATAAAGGAAGAATAATGAAAGTGATGATTGGAACAAATTCCCACATGTCTGCACATCTTAATTCTAACTTATACATTGATCCCATTCACAGAGCTCTTGGTTTCATCTAGTTTTCCTCTTTTTTTGAAGATGTACTTGTGGCAGCTGGCTCCAGGTGAGCTGCGCTGGCCTGTAGCTCTTCACCACGATGCCCTGGTCCTCCACGGCCGGCTCCACCACCACAAAATCCTCCAGTAACTCGTCCTGGTTGGTGGAGTGAAGGCCCCGCTCACGGATCTCCTGGTAGAGGCAGGGTGTAGCTGGCGGATGAAAAAGAAACCGGAACGTTACAAAAACACAGGGTGGATCCAAATGGTGTTAAATGTGCTGAAAAAATCTGATTTAACTTGGCTGCTCTTTTGGGTTTCACTCCTTAGATTGCATCAAAAATATCACCTGAGAATTAAATACGATCGGAGGGTTTTGGAGAGTTTTGGGCAGCTTTGTTAGACATTTTGACAGGTTTGTCAGATTTTTGACTCAGTCTTTCTGAAGTCGACATCTAGAATCTTAAATTATAAAGGAGAAGTGACTGCATCTGTCCAGCCCTCAAGACTCAGACGCTTAGCATGCTGGGAGCGTTCTGAGCTCCCACTTTCCGGTTTTGATCCCCCTCTGCTGCCATAAGAGGCTTTTCCAAACAGTGCCGTGGAAATGACTCCATCCAAGCATCAAATCCAACTTACTGGGCACAATCGCTCTAAAATGCTCCACTCTTCTCCAAAAGCGCCAAACATCTGGGCTATTTTCCAGTCATCTATTAATAAGTCAGCCAAAGCGGACAGAATGACACATGACACACCATTTTTGAAAGATCCACGCTGGTTCCTCTTTCTTCCCAGGGTTCGCTAGAAAGGAGAAAAGAGCACAGCTTGAGTTTCATTATTGTAGAGTTCAGTTTCTGTTTGTTTTTTTTGCTCTGTTTTTTCATATTCACAACATGTGCAATTTTCTAAAAAACGGCAATCTATGAGAACATCTTCAACAGGAGTAAAGAGCATTTGCAGCCATCTGTCCTATGACTACAGGAGAATTCAGCAGGGATTGGGATCAATCACTAGCTTTTACATTTTGGAATCATCTAGATTCCAATTCAAATATCATGGACAAAAATTCATGGACAGCTAATAGTCTGCACTGATGCTTAGATCCGATAAATGCTAACCCTATCCGTTTAGGCGTTTCGGGTTAGCTCGAGGATGGAACCAAAGGTGTGTACTGTGTGTACTGGGTGTACTGTGTCCGTAGTGTGTACCTTGCGCCCGGGGCTGCGGGCTGGACCCGGACTGCTCGCTCTGCCCTCTTTAACGGGTTTCAGCAGAGCGGGGGCCGCTCGCGCCGCTGCCCCCAGAGCCTCGATGTCCAGGCTGGTCACCGCCGCCCTGTAGGACTTGTTCCTGCGGTTCCTCCTCAGAGCGAAGCCGTCCCCGTCGCTGTCGTAGTCCTCCCAGGACACGTCCGGGCCCTGGGCCGAGTGCCGGCCGCGGCTGCCGCCCACGGCCTTCTCCAGCCCCACGGGGAAGGTCACCACCGTGGTGTGGTGGCGGTTCTTGGCGTGGTGGTGGCGGCCGGACGAAGTCTTAGGGGCCAGCTGGTGGCGGGTGGTCCAGACCGCCCGCTGGGCCACGCCGGCCCCGTCCGGCACGCTGCCCGGGGGTGTGGGGGCGTCCTCCTGGGGCGTTTGGGGCGTTTCAGCCTGCGCCGGTGGGTAGTCTTCATCGCCCGGCTCATAGATGTGGAGCTCTGTGGAAAACTGGCTCTCCAGGAGCGGAGGGGTCAGGCCGGCCGGGCAGCTGTCCGACTCACTTTGCGACATGGCGTCCCTGTCTCCTGAGCTCCTCAGCACCTAAAGCTTTGAGGAAAAACAAAGACAGGGGAGAGAAATCTGTCATTTCGAGCGTACATTCGGACAAAGTGGCGCAAGACAGAAGCTTAAATGTGGACAGGAGAACCCGGGAAAGGTGACTAATCTGACCCAGAAATACCTGTGGGCTCCTCAGTGGGGTTCCGAAATCTCTTCCTAGCTGTGACCAAGCTCCTGTCTCACTGTTTAGGAGCTTTCGGTGGACTGGAGCAGCTATAGTGGTGCCTGCACCAGGACTCTTCCCTCAGCCCTATCCTACTTTTTCCCCCACACAAACACACGCACAGAAACCCGATTCGGAAAAATCTGTGCGCCACAGAACTGTAATAAAAGAAGTCTGTGAAGGGAGGTCTTGACCTGCTGTGACACATAGGTCCTCCTGCCTGAATCCTGCTCCCAAACGCCTTATTACAGCCTTACGACGCCAATTTACCCACGGGGGGGTTTCAAACGCACCGTTCTCAACCTTCGACACCCAACATCTCCGTTTCTCCACAGTCTCCTGTTTTCCCCCCGTGGCACTCCTGCGTTTACAGCGTGCGTCCTCGGGATTAGGGTGGGAGGAAAAAAATGTCTGCCACAAATTCCCACAAGCCGAGAGCCGTCACGCGTCTCCAACGCAGGATCCCCGATCCTTACCTGAGAGGTGCCGTCTGAGGCTGGAGGGGGTCAGCGGTCAGCGGTCCGTGCTCCGTCCTGCTGGGGCCGCGCTCAGGTGTGCGGAAGTGCGCAGCGGCGTCTCTGCTCGTGCGCATAGGTCTGCGCTCCTCTTCCTCAGGAAGCCGCTCCGCTGACGTCACGACAGGTGAGGTGACTCCAGACAAAAGTTCACCCGCACAGATTCAATGCCTGATCTCCCCCCCCCCCACTCCCACCAAGCCTTGCCCCCCCATGAGATGCAGATTGTAGACTTTACCCCTCACCCTAAAAAAGCTCAGTAAGATTAATAAACCAGTCTGCTGCATAAAAATGGTTTCCATTATTTAACTAAATGTTTTGCAAACAAATGAGAGAAAATCCTTGAAATTTGTCAGCTTGACTGTCAAGAGTATGTTTGTTATCTTTGTTGTTTTGTCGCCTGACAGTTGAAAGCCATTCTCTGACCCCCCCTGATGGTCAACATGTCATAATGCACTCCCTCCTGACGGCCAGGCTGTAATAAACACAGGAAACAATCTCTTTCCACACTAATGAACTAGAGTCATTGAAAAAAACTATATTAATGATCGTCATGTTTAAATAAAGCATCTTTAATAAAATAGTAGGGGGTCTTTTTTAATGATGTTCAGTAGATTTTAACTTGACAGTTTCAGTTTTATTGTCACCGTTCACATTTTTACTGTAAATCCTGAATGATTTTATCCCCTTAGGTGACTGTTTTCTTTGTGAGAGGCGACACAACACAATCCAAAAACAAAATATGTATAATCTTTTTGAATGCTGAAAATTACATTTTTGCTTTCTAAAGCAACTTTCTTTCTTTCCCCACCTTAAATTTACAGATAAACTTAAAAGTTTTGGGCTATATTAAGGGGGGAAAAAAGAATGTTCCATTAAAATTAAAACAATTTTAAATATGGCTCTACAACTAACTCCCGCTGCTACTCAGTTCAGACTGTAAACAAACTAAAAACAAACACAAAGCCATTTTTTGTGGTCAAAGATTTACTTTTTAATTATGCAATATTAAGCCAACATTTCTATTCAAGCAAGGCTGAGACACTTAATTTAATGTGGAAATAATGAAATGACAACATTTTTAGGGTCTCTATATACAGAGTATGTATGTATACATGTCTGTGTGTGTATATAATTAAATGGCAATGACATTAACATCATTATCAGTTTTAATATCATATGGCATCCGATGCAAAGTAAATCTGAATTTCTTAAAACAGTCAGCCAGGCCCATATCATTCACGGAGACACAAAGTCTTAGCTTTATATATTCTGTTTGTTAAAAATATACATCCAACATGAAGTAAACTGAATCTTTTCCATCCTGTGGAAGGACGTTTAGGTCGCCATTAGAAAGAAAGCGGGATTGTAAGGTTTACTCTTAAATGTCAACGCACTGATTTCATGCATTGTGAAAATTTAAATCCACCTCTGAATATTCATCACAGATTTGCCACATTTTAAAATGAGCTCTTAACTCTTGAAGCTATTTTTCCATCGACTTGTAAACCTGGAAATGGAAGGAGCACACACACGTGGTGACTGCAGCAAACTAGTCAGCGTAGTGTTTTGAGTTAGTTGTGTTATGAAAGTGCAATCCTCTGAAAGTCAAAGGTGATTCTACTGTGCTAGTTTTGCAGCTCTGCTCCCATCTGCGACCAAACCTTTCGGTATCTATAACCACCATTGCCAAAGACTCGCTGGCATCTTCTGGGGGGGGGGGGAGCACATCTCTATAATCCTGTCCGCGGAACACAGAGAGAGTTTGACGGTGTGTAAGCAGATCTGCTCATCAAAGATTTATCCCCCAGGTCAGTGGGACAGAGGAGGGAACAGGACGCGGAGCAACCTCACGTCTTTTCTCGACTATCTCTAAATTCAGAGCTCGGATGGGATGCATGGCGTAAGGCGCAGCTCCTCGGATGTGCGTGTTTTTGTTAAAGGTTTCGCGATGATGGGCTTCTTTTCTTTTCCTCGTTTGACATTTTTCCCCCCAATATCACACCACAACCTGCTCGATCCCCATCATGCAACAAATGTCCACATCACATTAATCATCCTGCTAGTTTCACATTTAGACTGAAACATTTTACAGCCTCCAATCCCCCCGTGTAAAGTGATACAATTCCATTTTAACATCTATATAATCTTTGCAGTATTTAAAAATAGAATATCTATCAATATTCCAAATCCACAGATAAATTAAAACATTCCTAACTAAAGAAACTGATTAGGTGGAGCTGTGTGATGCTTTGCTTCTCTAGAATTCAAACTGGCAGTAAAATGAGGCCTAAAAAGTGCTCCTAGGGGCTCGATAGAAAAATATCTAAGACATGGTAAAGATGTGATACAGCTAACTTCTAATAATGCTCCAGGACAGAAGAAGCTTTTGCCCAGTATACCATTGGTAGACGACACATCTGTCGGAGCTACTTATCATTCATGGTGAACAGTGAGCGTGGTTAAGAACGGGCGACACAAATGCAGCAACAGCCAGCAGCTCTCGGTTTTCTTTGTTATCGTTTTCCAGAAGCTAGGACGAGCCTATCAAATGTTCTACGTGAAATGTTTTCGAGCCAGAAAAGTAGATCGATGCAACATGTGATCTTAATTTAGCTTGGGAAATGTTCATTTAAAGCAAATGCCTTAAAATGGTCAGTGCATGTCAGAATGCTCGTACTAAAAAGACCAAGTTTTGAAGTGTGTGAGACTTCAGCGGGAGGTGGTGGTGGGGGGGGGGGATCATTCTGCTGTGTCACCCAGGCTGAGCCTGTGTGGACAGCAGAAACCTCAGCGCGGGCCCCGAGTTACCGGGGGCCGAAGAGTGACACGACAGAGTTTGGGGGGGGGGAAAGGAGCTCTTCCTGGTCGTGGGCCGGACAGGGAGGGTGAGGGTGAGGGGGAGGGAGGGAAGGGCTCTAGGGAAAAGTGTGTGAGGGCGCAGAGCACTGCGAGGCAGTGAATGGGGAGATGATCCAGTTCACTTTTTGGCTATATCACCTTTCTTCAGAATTATCTGCCGCTGCCAGGGGGCCAGCTTGGTCTCGTCGTAGCCCAGGGTCCGTAGCCGCTCCTGCTCCGTCTTCTCCTCGATCTCTTTTGCCTGTTTGGCCTGCTGTTCGGCTTGTCTACATCCACGCATGAAGACAGGTGAAAAACAAACAGTAATTAGCTCTATGCTGCCATTCCTTTAGGTTTCAGTATGTAGGTTAGTTTAAAAAACATTTTGAAAAAGGTGTGGAAATCAGCCTCCCCCCTGCAAATGAAATGGGCGGGCCATTCCTTTATGGACGTGTGCCTCAGTGTGGGCAGAAAATCATTATGAGAAAATTTTGTCTCATAGGTAAGACTGATTGAAGTCCATCCTTTCATGCAAATAATTTGAAATAATGTAAGGACGAACAGTCATTGATACAAAAATCTAAATGAAATTAAAACAAATTTAAAGGGACTTGATTTACCCACTTAGTGACTGAATGGAACTTTTCAGCATGTACGAACATCACTGTGTGGAATAAATTATTTTCTTACCTCTTTTGTTCCCTTTCACATCAGGAGATTGACGGAACAAGAAGAAAAGATGTAAATATCTCATACAGCAACAGCAGTTATTCCGCACTTAACAGCATTTCTAACATAATTCTACATCTGCCACAAAATGAAAAAAGAAATACATTTTCATATGTAGGTCTACGGCTAATTAAATAGAGTAAACAATGCAGTAAGCTTGAATCACATCACAGTATAAAGCAGGTATCTTCTGTCACCGGTACATGAAAACATAACAAATCAGTGCAGAAATGTGATGGACAGGATAAAACTATGTTAAAACTGGTGAGCTACCACTAAAAAATCTAAGCTGTCCAGTAGAAAAACTCCTATCCAAAACTTCTGTTTTGTTTCCATGGATCTACCCTAGATGACATACTGTTAATGAGACCGTTCTGGTAGTTTTGTGGAGCAGGAAGAGATCTATATTTCTCTAAAGACACTATATTAAAGAACATAAAGGTTACTCAAACAATCAGAAAATGCATTGCATTCTTCTATATTATGTACATGATTTAACATTCAGTAGAACCAGCATTTCTTCTAAAATCTACTAATAAATGCACGTTTATTTAGCAAAAGAATTGACTCAGAGTTAAAGCGGGGGAAAAAACTGCCCAAGACACTAGCAAAACACTCACAAGAATACCTGCTATCACAAGCGATTAACACACACAGCTTCAACCCACTCGTTCAGCATTAAAAGAAGCAGCATCGTTACTCACTTCTCTTCATCCAACTTCTTCTTCATCATGTCTCTTCTCCAGGCTGGCATTGATGCCAGGCGGGCTGCCTCTTCCTGAGCCTGTGAGGAGACAGAGGGGCCCAAGGAGGGACAGAGATAGGGACCCACACCAATCAGTAAAGAATTATAACTGTAAGTGAAGCCCTCACATCATCAGTTATTCTTTTATGGATTACAGCGTTTACTACAAGGAAAGCAACATCAAAATGCATTTGAATTGAATTTGTCTTGTAGGAGCCACAGCTGGACATTTTCATGGAAAATAAATTATGCTTTACATGTCATCAAGAAGCCATTCTAAGATATTGTCATTTAAAATGGATCTTTAACATATATTATTGAACATAAATCAATCATGAACATAACTCAGGCTAGCCCACATTCACTGAAGTAGTAGATTCTATGTAGCTGTAAAATGACTTGTGTCAGGCCCTCTTCAAAAGATCCTCAAATTTATTTATTTTAACGTGGATGTGTTTCGTGCCTGTATAGAGCCATAAAAGCGTCTTTGCTCATACATACTGCACATCCTTTTTTGTACAAGTTGCTTTTATAGAAGAGCTAAATAGACTGAGCGGCCAACGTGGTGAATTGATGAATCAGTTTACAAAAGTAAACAGAGCTTAAACTATGCATTCACCTACTGTTCTGTTAGACATAAACTAAAGGCTTAAAAAAAAAAAGAACAAGCCAGGTCAGTGCTTTCCAGTTTGTTTACAGAGTGTACTAACTGTAACAGGATCCTTTTTCTCATTCAGTGAGTAACTGGAGGTGGAGCAGGAGGAGAGAAAGAGGGCAGCCATCTTGGATTTCTCATCTTTCCCTCAAATGCGTTATCTGCTCGCTTTTTGTCCGTGAAGGATTTCACTTGCCTTACCTAACATGAGAGTCCATGTAAGATTATCTGGACGATGAATCTTTAATGATTCCCTTGGGAATTTAAAAGAAAGAAAAAAAAAAAGAAAAGAAAAAGAAGAAAAACTAAGCAAAAAGGGAATCAAGTGCTATGTTTGCTTTATTTTCTATTTGTTAGTGATTAAATCAAATGGTCAAATAACGCTGAGCTAAGGCTGCTTCCTGCATTCAAAAGATGGTTAAAAATAACAAAGGTGAAGTGCTAATTTTATCCCCCTTTTCGTAAGAATAAAACACCAACAGGTATGTTGCCAAGAATGGCAACAAGTGAGAGAATCTTTTAGAAATATCAGCAGCTAAACAGTATCAGATCTCAATAAAAATAGTCTATATACAACAAACAAAGCAGGTAATTTGATTCTTAAAGAATGCCTCAAACCCAACCATTTTCCAACCCGATGAGCTTCTCATGACTTTTTGAGGTCATGTTTTAGGTCAGGTCATGAGTTAGGTCAGTCAACTGGATCTTTTCCATTTTCATTAATGTGGAAGCTGTGCAAACGTCTACATGTATGGCTAGCACAGGTTCCCATCAGCGTATAGAAAATACGGATATGTAGTGCTTTGTAGGAAAAAAAAACAAAGAAATGTATTCGGTAAAGGACTTTTAGTTTACCAGCAGGCTGTCTCCCATTTGAGCTGTGAGGTGATGAAGATTCGATGTAACCTCCTTATGGCTCCTGTAAGCCATGGATAGCATGACAGCGGGTGGTACTAAGAGGGTTACTGGCAGGTAATCTTAATGCCGCAGCACAGACACTATGAGAACACCATAGTTCTGCAGAGCCACAACTGTTGCTAAGGAGTGTTTGATGAAAGCCTTTCATTGGTACTTAGAGTGGTGAGGATATCAGTTCTATAAATCGAATCTGGACGGACATAAAAGTTCTCAAAGTCATAGAAAATTTCTCGGTGGATTATATTATTTTGGCATAAATTCCACAAGGATATTTTATCAATGGACTTCATATTTAGGAGAGGAAAGCTGAAATTCTTTCATCCAAAAAATCTCAACAATCTTTAATTTCTGACATCAGTGTAGAAATCGAGTAACAAAGAGACAATACACATGATAACAAAAACAGGGAAACAATGAGAACGTGTTCGTTTATGGAAAGAGATGTGTCTTTTTCTTTTTTTAGTTCAACGGAACATCTACTAGACAATCTTTTTGCCTACAAAATGCTGCATTCAGACACTTAACAACGAAGAGCGTTTGTGAGCCAGTGAAAAGGCGTAAGACTTTGCCTGACAACATAGTTTCTTTGAGTCCAATTAGAAGCACATAAAAAGATGGGTATGAAGAATTGAAGTTTGAGTCATATTAAACCTTGTAGTGAATATTTAAATATGTGCCCTGTAAAAGTAAATCTCGAGCTGAATCCCATGAATTTCAGATACTTTCAGACAGGATACAAAAATATGCACAAACACCCTATGGGCTATAAATTACTGTCCTCACAGATTTAGTGAGGATTTACTGTTTGACTTCATGTGATCACACGTTAAGTTGTGTAACTGGATGCTAGGAGACAAACCGTGTCACTTGAACTCGCTGCTTGACGGCTGACTCACAAAACACAGCACTCAGGACTTTACGACCCCAGTATAAGTGCCTAATGAGCATCAATTGAAAACCATTCAAACCTTTGGTCAGTTTGTAAGCTTGAACTGCCATTAAAGAGAAGGGTTAACTTAAGTCTCATCTGGTGATCGAAACATGAAATGTAGCCCGAAGCATCCACCAGCATTTACCAATTATGTCCCAAACAGAGATCATTTAAACAACCATTTAGTGACATTACTTTTTATGGCAAATCTTTTAGTTAAAAAACATATTGTCCCAAAAGCATCATGTATCATGGCAATCAATCAAACAAAGATCTTGTTGAAGACAATTTAAAATGTTCTTCCTTTTTGTTTTCACGAAAAATGTTCAAAACATATGTTGATAAAAAACTGTTAGAAAAGAAGTTCTGTGCTGCTCTTAAGTCTTTCAGGTGACACCAGATTGGCTTCCTCTTTCAGGGTGTTTCAGCGTTCAGGTTCGCCTACCCAACCAAACCCTGCACAGAATCCATTCCCTTTGGTGAGTTAAGTTATCCCGCTATCCCGTTAGATGTCGAAAAGCTCGGCTTCTTTCTCTTTCCAAAAAGCAAAACTCCGATCGATGTATCTGATGATTTCTTCGTTGCTGAACTCTTTCAACTCGTAGATGACTTTAATCGAGTCCTCCGTGGGCTCATCTCTGGGTGGAGGTGTATCCTCTGTGAATTTAACGCTAACGCCTGAAACATTTTTCTTTGTACCTGCCGCAGAGATTTCTGTTGGGGTCTCTTGAGCCGGAGCTTGTTGTGCCCTTTCAGTTGTCACGTTCTGTACGTTGTCATGCTCTGAAATTGTCGTGTTCGGAACCGTAGACATATTTGGGGAAATCTGTTCTTTTGATTCTGCATTTTTCTGGCCGCCCCCCTCTAGTGACTTGTCTGGGGTTATTGGCCCCACACACTGGTCACCATTAGAGACACCATCCCCGGCAGCTTCGGGAGACGGAGAGACCTCCAACTGAGACGTTTGTGGGGGCGGCTGTGAGGCTGGGGCAGGTTCATTCGGAGGTGGGGGCGCAGCATGAGTTGGGGGAGGGGGAGGAGGGTGGGAAGGTGGAGGGGGAGGCACTTCCTGCATTGGCGAGATGGACATCTCAGGAGACATAGAACGGAGAGAGGCGGTCATCAAACCACCTCCATCATCAGAGTCTCCAAAATACTTGAGCTTTATGTCCTCAAAGCCATCTGCCCAGTCTCGCTTCCCTCTCTCGATTTCCTCCATGACCTCCTTGTGAAACAGTCTAATGACCTCCCATTTGTGGCTGCCCAGACGGTCAAACATCTCATAGCACAAAAGATGGCGAAATTTCCGCTCACCGCGAGACATGTTCATCTCTAATAACTGGAAGTATCCCAGCATGAAGAGGTCCAGCGTGAGGCTTTCGTAGCTCACAGGTGAGCCATTGATGTGTGGCAAGAAGTGCTCCGGCCAGTAGGTCATCTGGGAGCGACTCAGCCTGCGGATCTGCCGTGTGGGGACTTGGCTCATGATTGTCCTCCAGTGGCCAATCAGATTCCCCACTACGTGCTTGGACTTCATAAACAGGAGGAGTTTGTCATCTTCACTTTGCATCTCCCCACTTAATTGAGCGTTAAACTGGTTGTACTCCCCGTAACCCACATCCAAGTGATTTCCCCTCCTGTCTGTATATTTAGTCCGATAACATTCTGAGATGGTATACTTCCTCCAGTGTTCAAGGAAGAGAAAAACTATTCTCTCTTTCCTCATTTCAATGCATTCTTGGACATAGCTCAGGTCTGTCTGCACCTCCAGGCTTCGTGTTAGCTGGTCGTCGTTCAAAATGGGGTCTGAGGAAAGAACCTGGTTGAAGTGTTCAAAGTTTGCGGGAGCCATTACGTCAGAGGGCTCGTAGGTCTGGGGAGCGTGAGATGCTATGATAACTGGCTCTTCAACGAGTGGTAGTGCGGGTTCCCCTGTTGATGGTTGATGGTCGTTGGTATCGAGGCCCAGCACTTCAGCGGAGGAGCAGGGAGCCTCCTCCTCACAAGCCGTCTCTGGACAATGATTAGACTCACTTATCGCAGGGAGAGACCTTTTGCGTTTGTAAACCCGGTTAGCTTGGTTATCTGCCGACTGTGGCTGATTCAGTACTTCGTAATTGGCCTTGAGGTTCTTTACCGAGACCCCGCACTGCTTTATTTCCTTTTCCACTTCTTCCCTCGTTGAGAAAGACTGAGAGCGTCCAATGTAGGCAGTGCCAGCCATTGCTGCAGACTGAGACTGGCCTGCACTCACATTCTTTGCATCTTCTTGAGAACTTCCAGGAAATATAAGATCCAAGATGTCTATTTCTTTGCCTCCCAGGGTCGCAAGGAGAATTGCCATGCTCTTGAGTAGGGTGGAGATCTTGCTACACCATGCTGGGAGATCCTCAGCTTGGCCATGCACCTGCTTTGGATTGACCGAGAAGTGTCCTTGACTGAGAGCAGCGGAAACTGGGAGGAGCTGGTGAAGTTCCCGCTCCAGTTGCTCCAGTTCCTTCTCAACTTCTGACATCTTATGCATGACCTGCAGGTTTTCAATTTGCCTCTCAATTCGGTTTAGGTCAGCCTCGGTCATCAGCTCCCCAAACGGGCCCAATATGGCATTGTGGATGTGAGAGTAGTGCCATTCCTGAGGCTGGTAGTGTCCACTTGACGCAAACTAAATCAGAGGTCAGAAGGAGACCAACAGGACAAGAAAAAGGGAAGGAGGGAGGGATTCCTTCAGCACGAACTTCCTGGTATGAACACACGGTTGAGTGCAAATCCATCCTAACACACAGGATTTACATGGATTTAGTGGTGCAATGGCACAGCCTCATTACAGGCACTAAACTCTCTACTGTAATTTAGAATCAAAGCGAACAGAGAATCCTTTGTCCCTTTTTAATTCAATGGCGAATTGTATACTGAACAGATTACCGTTGGTAAAAGCAGAATATTGTTTCAAATGTAGCAACATGCCTTTGCTTGCATTTAGGCAGTTGGTCAACTTTGGACCTTTTAGGCTCGTTTTTTCCACAACACCTCAAATACGCTATCCCCTTTTCATGCAAGTTTTTTTTTTCTTACAGTAACATTAAAAAGACGCTGAAAAATCTAATTATTGTCCACCCATTGGTGTTTTTTTCCACTCTGCCACAGGCTCTGTGACCTAACTAAGATGTAACACTACACTATAGTTTAACAGCATTAACTCAGCTTTGGGTTTTGGCATCAGTGCCACAGAGACACCTCAGTCCTAACCCAACAAAGAGGAGAAACCAATCTGAGGTGCTGGAGATTTAAAGCTGCCAATATTGTTGGTTTAATAAAACGGATTTGTTGAGGAGAAGCCCTTTAGGAGCCTTATTTGCTCATAAAACTCCTACTTCTGAAAGAAAAGAACAAAAATGATTTGATGAGATTCTTTGATTTTCTAAATTAAACTGCACTCTTGTATTGTTTGCAGTATCACAAAGCTGTTAAAGCGCTGCTGAAATGTTGTTCTGTCATTGTGCCTTTTTCAAAGTGCTCGACACTCTGATTTGTAGTGTGAATGGGCCCGGCATCACACCACTGAATCTGCATGTAAGAACTTGGAGGCACAAAACTCCATCATCAAACACCAGGCAACACTATGATTTGTTTGGTCAAGTGTGTTAATGCTGTGATGGACATTGTAGCCAAGTCGTCAACTCAACACACTCCAAAAGGTCTCTTAAAGTTATGACTGTGAAAGAAGAAACATGCACAGCAACAGCAAAAGAAAATGAATGATTTCATAAATATCGAGCACAAATTTGGAACAAAGCTGGCTCAATGGCACTGAAAAGCTATAATTTCATTGGCTGTTCACAGTATTGTATCTATTATCAAAATACTTTTTAATGGCCCTTGTTCAAAACCTTCAAGCATTCTAACATTTGGGGGTTTTAATGGTGCCACTGCACATAAAAAGATTGAAGACCAAAAGTTGGCATCACAAGAGGAGAGTTAAGAGAACTTTCCCCCTTCTGAGTCTTTAAATGATAGAACTTGAATTTTAATTGGAAGTAAATTAAAACTTAATCAGATCTAAGTAATCGCATAATATGTTTTTCTTATACTAAACATCCAAGCATGTGTTCGGATTGCTCCCTTATTAATAATTTATCTTTACCTTGTCTAAAGATACATAATATTAACCCAGATTTGGTGAAACAGAGTTAGATATGACGTGATTCTTTAGACATTAAATCAAATTAAATGTTAGTTTTGTAAACCCTTGTGTAGAAATGTGTCAGCAAAGATCTATGCAAAAGTTATCAAATGGGAAAAGTGCTCACCATTAAGCAAAATCCGTCATGCACAACCACACTTCACAAAAATTGCTCAAACACAACCTCACAATTCAAAAATCATAAAAAATGCACTCCCACACACACACACACTAGCTATCCCCTTTGTGTTGTTGATAAAAAGAAAAGAAAAAAAAAACGACACAATAGGGATAGCCAGGATACAGCAGCACTTAGCCTCATCCTCCTCTGCATCCGGCCTACCTTGCGTCTGTGATCCTCCTCCTCCTGCATCTTCACCTGGAGCTTTCGCACCATCACCTGCCTCTTCCATTCGGGGATGGCTTTCCCCTGCTCGTCATGGGTGGGCACCAGAGCCTCCACGTCAGCGAGGCTCATCTTCCTCCCCGACTCGGCTTTTGCCGAGCCGCCGCCGGTCCCATTGATCGCCGCGTTGGAGGACAGCTGCTCGTAGCTGGCAGAGCTCGACATTGTCCTGGAGGATCCCGAGCCAGTGGGACTGGGGCTGGGGCTCGGGGTGGCGGGTGGGGAGGAGACGGGCGTGTTGGATTGTGGAGGGGATGATGGCTTGGGTGGAGGGGGAGATGACCGGGCCTCTGGGGATGTGGCCGTACCCTTGAGGAAAACACAAGAAAGGTGGACCAAAAAACAACAGAGAGTCACAAATCTTTAATTGGTGGATCTTTTTAAACCAGTAATAACTTTATTTTTTTTAAGTTTAGAGAACTTAAAGGCAACATCAGATGTTCTTTAAGAGATTTTCCCTTGGCGGTAAGTAAAATCCTGATTCTAGTGAGTTTAAACCTGTGGCTTGGGTTAATTAACATTTACAGTTGGTTCTTGATTTAAAAAGGTGGAATCACATCTATAGTTGAAGGCAAAATCTGGGCCTGAACTGACTGTATGCGTGTTTCTGAATAAACCACCGCCTGTTGCATAAATTAGTCATGCAGGAAAGCTGTGGACCTACATTGTTGCCCGTGGGTCCACTGTTGGAAAACACGGTGGTGTAGCCTTTACTGTGCGGTGTGGGCTTAAGGCTCTTTCCTGCTTTGATCTCTGCCAGCAGCTCTGAGTTGTCACCGGTGGGGGACATCATGTTGAAAGATTTTGTGCCTGCATACAAAAGGAGAGGGCGGACAAGTGAAACCAGGTAGAAAAGATGGTGGACGGCGAAATAGAAACAGAGAGAGTGAGAGATACAATGAAGAGGAGAAGGGGGGTTAGGTGGCAGCCTTAAATATTTCATCCAATCAGCCGGGTAACAATGCTGACCTGCAGCAAGCTGTACAATGATAAGTCTTTATGGCTTGGTGAACCATAGGGTGGGTGCATGTGCTTCTCTTTTCTTCAATTTCCTCTTTCATTAAGTCAATATTGCACGAGAAACTCGGGAATAAGAGGGTGACTATAAAAACCTAAACTAAGCTAAAATGAAAGCTTCCGCCTTTCAGAAACAGAACGGCAAAACTGAGTCTCATTGAGTTACTTTCCTTTGCAAAAACGGACGGTACAATCAGGCAAAAGACACTTAAAATAAAAAAAGAAGGTCAGCAGAAAGAGGCCACAGCTGTTTGAGAAGGATTTCACCCTTCATCAGGACAGCGTGCCAGCACACTAAGTGCTCTGAGATGAGTGATTTCTGAGAAAACCCATCACAGAACTTCACCACCCTCTTTGTTCATCTCAGCTAGCACCGGCCAAACTGTTCCATTTCCCTCAAATCAAGCCTGAGCTCCATAAAGCTGTCTTTGAGCTTGTTGAGGATGCGAGGTGAAAAACTCTCTCTAAGGGAGGAGGACCTGCTGCTCTGCTTTGATCGGAGGGCCGAGTAGAACCAGTAGTCAAAAGAAAGGAATAAACTGTTTTCTTCATTCACACAGAATTACAGCATTAGCCTTATTATCTAACAACCACACCTTGTACAATTAGATTGAATTGAAACTAATCTGCTTACTGTGAACAATGCTACAAAAATTTGACCAATCTTTAACTCCAACCTCTCTCTTTACGTTCTTCCACAAATTTAATTAATTTTTTCAAATAACAGCTGCAACATAACATATATTTAGTAAATTCTACATATCCAAGAACAGATAAAATGCCTCTGCTTTCTTATATCATCCTTCATGCAGTCAAACAGAATTCAACAAACTATTATTGCATTTTAGTCGAACCACACAAAGAGCCAGTTGTTACCTCACCTGTTTCAGTAAACGTAAAGCTCAAAAGAAGCAAATATCCTCAGTCCCTCATTGTTTATTCATCCTCTGTTTGTTCACTGGAAAAAAAAAACCTCCTTTCCTGTGTGAAAGTGTTCCCGTCGAGGCAACCACAATGCTCTAGCTGCTCACAAAGCCTGGCTAGCGTGCCACCCCTCCTCGCTCTCCCGTGCTCTCTCTTTCTCTGTGTCTCCCTTGGTCAGAGAGAGCAGCTTTCTGTTAAAGACCCATCATCACAGTTGGGGGAAATCTAAAGGAATCACCAGTAACTGAAAGTGACAGCGAGCCACCGGAAAGCTGGCCAGGAATTAACACACAAACGCACACGGCGCTCAATCCTCAGCTCTTCAGTCCTCTTCGCCACACCGGTTCTCTGTGTGCAGAGCTCACTCAAATCCCACTTTTACAGTTCTTAGATGGCAGACTGAGAGCGGGGACCCACGGGGGGTTTTGGATGCGCTCACGGTTGAGTTCAGATGTTTCATTTGAGCCATCAATTTTTCAAAGCCACTATCTGACACGCTAATGCTCTTCAGGTTTACTTTCTACAGCTTGACAAACTTTCACTACCAAATGCCATGAGCTAAAAACTAAACTTCAGAAGAGAATATCATTATGAACATTTTCCAAAATGAAACTTGGTCAGTGAATATTTTTTTCAGTATACTGACAATAAGCACACCATACCGTCAGCCTTTTTTCCCCCCAGTTAAATCGTCATTATGGAGCTCCGAAACCATTCCTAATCCATTCAGATGCGTATAAAATTGAGTCCACCCATTTGTGCTCATGAGTCAAAGCCTACGCGCCGTTTACTCGTTGAATCCTGCGATGTGGGGATTGTAGATTGAGGAGGTTTGCCTGATGGAGTGTAAACGAAGGTGGAGGTGTGGCAGGTAGTGAACAAAAGACAAACAGCCTCTCATACTATGCCAGTCAGCACAAAAGGCTGTCTGTTCTGGGGTCAGACCCTGACCAGTTAAGACCCGTAACATCCCTGTAAGTCTCAGTGGGCCGTTTGTTTGCTTCTCCTCTTCAATCCGGATGAGACACGAGCACAATGAATTGGTCACATGTCCTAAAATAATCATGCATCTACACCGGCTTACACATTGCAAGAAAGCTTTACAGGGAGAAGAAAGTTTGTGGCTTTGGGCATCTGCACTTCTGGTTTGTGGGCTGTGAAAAACAAAACTCAAATCCCTCACATGCTGTTCACCAGTGGGAAACAATGGGGCAGTTCTAACGGTCTACAGTGTGACAGTCATTTTTGCCTGAGCCACCCGGTTTGTTGCCAATGTCTTAATGAGCATCGGAGCTCTAATTTCAACTGAAGCTGCCAGATCTCTTCATTTCTTTTGCTTTTATGGCCTTTTTATAACCAGTCAATTATGTGGAACAAATGCTATAAACCCGAGACCACACAATTCCTTAGTTTTTGGGGTAAAGGTGTCTTTTACAATGCGAAGAGCTACCTCCTCTTTTCAATAGAAGAAAAAAAAACTAAGTAGTTGTGGCACTATGACAAAGTTCCCCTCAGTTCAATAGGTTTAGAGCTGTAAATGCTCCCCGAGCTCTCGTTGTGTTGATTCCTTTCAGTTGTGTGACCACTAAACTAGAATTGCCTAAAAAGACGCAAATCATGTCATTACAGAGCACATTCTGCTCTTTAACTCTTGGTTGTAACCAAATGCTCAAATTCTGCTCAACATGACCTTTTTTCAGGTTAGAAAAATCTTTTGAAAATCCCTTCAAGATAAAGAGCATTTATTTCTTTTTAAAATACTTCAATTTGATTAATACTCTCTTTTACTATTACTCTTCACCATGTTGAGGCATGATATATACAATATCTAATTAATAAAACATTAAATATATCAAGCAACCAAATTATTTTATTTTTCACACTTTTTAAAAATAAAAGAACAAAAAATTGTATAATTTTTTCCTTCTTTGGTAGGTTTGGTCGCTTTCATACTTTAAAAATATTTCTTTTTTTATCAAAAATCTAAGAGAAAAAATGTATCAATCTATCCATGACCCAGAAATATCCTATGGTTCACCTTTCAGTTTAAGAGTGACATACAGGAACCTTTTGTATTTGCAGCTCCTCCAGCGATCATCAGTCTCCAATGTTTTAGGCAATCAAAAACAAGTATTACTGAATTAGATTTATCTTTCCTTTTGGAAAACTGATGTTTGGATGGTTTAAAATTAGAAACTGAAACACACTTGTTGAATTTCCCTAAAATAATCAAGAGTAAATATTGCTATCAAAAGGCTCTTAAAGGTGGTTTTAAATGCTTAGGTGCGCATGCAGGCCCTCTGTGTATGACACAAGGTAGACTACGTCTAGGTGAAAGACTTCTAGCCAGTCTGTACTTACTCTTCATCTGTCTAACAGGCCCTGCCTCCGGCTGAGGGACATTGATATCCACAGCTTGAAGAGAAGCAGGAGAGGCAGAAAGGTGGAAAAAACAAAACAGAGAGAGGAGGCAGGTGAAAAGAGAAACACGCAAACAGGAGATGAAAACACGCTAAAAAAGGATCGACAGAGATCCACAGATTTTTGTGCCGAAGGAGCAGAGCGGTGAATAAAAAAAAAAAAGAAATAACAAAATTATCAGGGCTTGAAAAGCAAAGATGGACACATGGATTTTTTTTTCCACTTTTGACCATTTGTGAAGAATGTGACCTTCCGTGGGTAAAAACGGGTCTCGGGTCGACCAGCATTCATGCTCTGATGATCAGGAGCACTTAAGGAAATGGCTGAACACTAAACCAGATCTCAGGGTAATTGTAACCTCACGTCATTAATTTATAATCTGTTGTTTAGAACGCCACAGTTGGACGCGACTCATCTGCGCCCGGGGGCGATGGTGGCGTGGCCTTTACTGCCACAGACTCTGCCTTCGAGGAACAATTACACAACGGTGAGCAGGCAAACATTCATTTGTAATAACGCACTACAGAGGGCAGGGACTGTAAGACGGACAAAAAGCTGGACGGAGTTAAGCTGCAGGACACTCACTCCCCGATGAAGAGGACGGGCGGCGCTGATTGGTGGAGGTGCTGCCGGCATAATTCTGGGTGGTGGCCTGAGTCCCGGGGGGCAGTGGAGGAGGCGGAGGGGGCGTTGGCATCGGAGAGCTTGAGGGAAGAGGTGGCGGTGGGGGAGGGGGAGGGGGCTGGACAGATTCGTCTGTGGCACCGTTTTCAGGGCTGGGGGTGGGACTGTTGGTAGGCTCCTCCAATAACATGGAACCCTGAAAAATAAATCCAATGAGTGAGACTTCAGCAGTCATGTGATATCTCTTTACAAATCTGACTTAATTTAACAAATTATGACAACTTAAAATAATCAATTTTTTTTCTTCTTTAAAATGAATAAAACAAGTTACTCATCTGGCTGGAAGAAAAAGGTCTTGTATTTAAACACTATGCGCTGACAGGGAATTCCTGCACAGAGGCAGTTGACAGAGACAGATGCACACATCCCTTTTGGATTTTTTTTAAGACCCCCCACCCCCCACCCCCCACCCTGCTGTCTCTAATAAACTCATAAAGGCACAATACGCTCCCACTATTGAGGGAGTTAATATGCCCTAATCCCAAAGGGGGGGAATCAGTGAGGGTAAAACGGTGGGAATAAACCATCTGTCCCTGCAAGTGATAGCCTCGCACGCGTCCAACACGCTTCCAGGGCGTGCCCCAAACTCTGCTGGGGGCGGTTTAATGGGCCGTGACATTTAACTCCATCCCACCCCTCCTTTGCTCTTCAGACGCGTGCTCATCATTGTTGTCCCTTTTACTTTCAAACCCCCAAGAGAGTTGAGCGGGGGCACCGTGTCCAGATGGGCCTTGGGCGGCACGTGCCGATTCCACTGATTAGCCAGTCCATCTGCTAGGGTCCTCAGAGAGAAGGAGAGGCCCCACTGAGGCCTTAATTGGCTCAATGCGGATTACACCCCGTGTCAACACAAACACCCCCTCTTCTGATACACAGGGGATTTTAAGAACACCTCTCCAGGGACACTGATGAGACGCTAATAGACTCTGTTCATTCATTCTTTTCGGCTGGTGAGTTCATGCGCTGGCAAACAAGCAGTTTCATCAGTGATCACAGCCCGTCAGAGTAGAATTGTTTTGTTTAACGAGAAACAGAAGAACGATTAAAAATTAACAGACGTATTTGTTTTTTTCCCCCATCTCAATTGCCTGATTCTGTTTGTTCATTGGTAACTTCCTCTTGTCTCGGACTGTCCAGAGCCTGGTCTGCACCTGTATGGACAGTTTACATGTTGGGGTGGAGACTCAAGAATGGAAATGAGAGGGGCTCATAACAGGGTTATGTAACATGCCGAGTGGCAATGCTGAGGCAAATCGGACAGTCGGTGTGGTAACCTAATGCCAACACACAGTCACCCAGCAAAACATTACCCAAAACCACACCTTAGACCAAACCGGGATGACAGTGTGCCCAGGTCCCAGAATGGGCAGTGCTTTACCGACCTCACACAGTTTGCTGTGGCCTGGACATTTGTTTAGGATCTAAATGTTTAAATCCTTATAGGACCTGCCTGACTAAATAAAGTTAAAAAGTCAAAACCACTACGATTCACATCAACCTTGTTCATACACTCAAACTGGGTTGGTTTTAGGTCTGCCACGACATTTAAAACCATACGGATGGGATCCATGAACAGCAAAGGTCTGACTTGCCTCCTCATTCGGGGCCATGTCTCTGAATCCACGGAGCTCTGCCGTGTCGTTGCCCAGAGACCTGTAGTAATCCCCAGTGCTGGGCTGCTTGCTGAAGCTCCTCGACTTCCTGTTTGAATCCACTCGGCGCAGTTTATCGTGGCTCTCTCCAGGAGTCAGATGCTTCGTAGATTGAAAGACAAATGACACCACAATCAGTGAGCTTCAAAATCTCGGGTGAAAAAGGTATAAAAAACTAAAATGACTCACTCAAACAACAGTTTAAAAGGACATAAATGTTTTCATTAGTCCAACAACAGTTTGAATATGGTGAAAAGGCATCACAGTTGGTACCACATATTTATTTCTACGTTGTTGCCAGATAAGCTGCCCGTGTTCCCCAAGCAGCTTTATGTGGATAATAGAACAAGGCTTTAATTTAGTTATTGTAAAACCCTTGTGTCTAACTTTCATTAAAGGTCTGTATTGCCAAATAGCCTCGTGCAGTTTTCTTATTATTGAAAGTAGTTGCTTGTGTCAGTGGCGTTGACAACAACTTGCTCCTTTTTACCTTCTGCTCAAAATTCAAACTCTCAAATCCCTGCAAGTCTAAAGGTTTTTATTAAATGCAACTGGAATGTGGACCAGAGTTTACAGATCTCTTAACAAGCTTTTCCCCGTCAACGTAGATATATTTTCCTAATGCAAAAGGTCTTGAATTTGCATTAGTGCCTGATTGGAAAAAAAGAAAAAAAAACATTTCTCTGCGTTACATCTTTCCAAAAACATGTCCACACAGTATAACAATAGACTAGCACAAAGTAGGAAAGTAAGAGCTTTTACAGCCTGTTCTAAAAAATGAACAATGAAAGCTGTTACATAAAAAGAAGTCTTTGAAACAACGTCTTTTGCCTTTCAAATGCAGGAGTAAGCATCAAATTTGTATTAATTTACATCTCAATGCCTGCACACAACATGGCTGGCCACAACACCGTCAAGTACCTCACATATTCAGATGCCTGATGTAAAGGAAAGCGGAAATAATTGTCAGTTCACCCCTGACCTTTCTTCCCAATGTGGTGTCATGTTGTGAGTTCCTGATGAGCCCCTGTAATCGTGTTGACTCGTGTCTTCTGTCAAAGAGATGGTCCCTGAGCTCTCATCATGCGGAAGGGTAATGTGAGCAGGGAGTGCTGCTGATGGTTTGTCATCCTCCAGAGAGGTGGGTCAACAATAGCCGTGGCATAAAGCGTTATGGCTCGTCTCCCCTCACACGCTCAGACAGACGTTCTGCTCTCCCATTGTGCGGACCAGTCATTCAGCATTGAGCCATATAATTTATGTGTGTGCAAACATCTGTTTCTACATTTCGATATTAAACGTGACACAATTTCAACAGTTGCTCTGTAATGTGTAGTCACACGTGAGGGATAAAACTTGTTAAGGTTAGCAACATGCAGAAATCTGCAGCTAAAATGTTCGAAGCAGAAAAGCCAGGGAAGCGAAACGCATCAACAGATTTGAACGTAAGCAACAGATGCACGGTTTAATTGCCCAGTGGCTCCAAAACCTTTAGATTAGCAATGCCGGTTCCATTTACAGCTTACCTTTGAGTCAAGAATCGCTTTTCTGGTCCGGACAGAACCACTTCCACAAAATCCAATGGAGCACAGAAAACAGCTGTCACCAGATCCAGAGCTTCGCCTTTTCTCCGCTCAGTGCAATGCCTGTCACTCTACCTGCCCTCTCACTTTACCCACAGGCCTCATCAATAACCTATTGGGCCAGAACTGCAGTAGCAGTGATGTCACCGCCAACCCACAGGCCAACCACTCCCCAACCCCGTCCAGTTCCTCTTATGCAAAACACAAACGCCCACGTGTTGCTTTAAACCACGGACGGCCACATGCAAATCCTCAAGGCTTTAAGGGGTTATTAGAATATTCTAGCCTTTTGTGCCCTGAATAAGCAGCAAAACTTTTCAGGAATTATACCGATTACACGAGAAACATCAAAGTCCAAGTTGTTTGAAGGCACAACAGTCCAGAGAACAAGACTCTGCATGGCTGACTGGGCACTGTTTGAATGTTCGTCATTGTACATTTGATTTAAGCCAAAGCAAATGCAGACAAATGAGCAGAGCCAATAAAATCAGCAAGGGCCTCAACAGCCACAAACACCTGTAAAAGACTTACATCCTTGTCTGGGAGCCTTTAGGTATGTTTTCTGTACAACCATGAGACCGGACCAGCAGCTATGGCACATCAGGTAGAATCTTTTTTCTATTGTAAGGCACACAGTAATCTTGGTTGTGTATATTCCTGTGCACACAGGTGTGCGCGTGCTCTGAGCATTGGCTTCTATTGAATTATTAATGAGGGCACGCCCTGAGCTTGTCACCTGGGTACAGAAGGCACTAATTAACGCCCATCCATCCACCCACCCACACACAGCTCACCATGGAGACAGAGCTTGTTGAGGACATTACAACTGCAACATTAACAGACATTGCATGTGTAGTAACACATATAGCTCCTATATGGCGTCTCGTTACAGCTAAATAAAGTAAGGCTGGGAGGGAGTTTATGCTGCTACAGAAACACTGTAACAATCAAGAAATGATGATTTGATCTCTCAGATGAGTTGCATTTGCTGTCATTTCTAATGTTCAAAGCAAAGTCATTTGCATCTCAATAAGAATTTGAACCAGCATATCAGTTTTTATGTGTCCAAACAGCATCGAGCCACCAGACACAGCTCTGACACTGCTGTTGATGCCAGACTTAATTGCTGCTACTTGTCAGCCCCTGAAACACTTTTGAGTGATCTGTCGCCAGTTTAATTAGTGGAATTAAGATCAGAGCCATCACAGCAACCGTTGTGAGCGCCGACCCAGAGGACTGCCACACTAATGAGCATCTTCTGTGGCCTTGTTAGCCATGCTAACACAATAACACCATTGTGGGCTCCCCGACAAGGGACCCTGTTCAACAGGAGCTATATCCTGTCTGATCAGACACATAGGGGGAATGCAAAAGCTATATCTGTAGCTTTATCTGTAATGCTGTGTTCTTCCTGTTTCTGTAGTACAGAAGTATAGAACCAATCTGTTCTTGAACACCTTTAAGTTTCAGAAAAAGAGTAGATTTCAGTTTTAGAAAATGAAGGATTGATGTTTGACCTACAGTTTTGATGCCTGTATTTATTGGTACCAAGCAGAACATATAAGATTTCCCACTTCGCCGTCCGTACCTCCTTTTTGCTGGTCTTTTTGTCCACATGCCGCAAGTTGCTTTTCACCTTCAGGAACTCGGCGGACAGGGGCTCCTGAGGGGCCTGTGGCGCCGGGTAGCTCGGAGGGGGAGGCGGCCCCGGGGGACACTGTGGAGGAGGAGGCGGGGGCGGGTAGGTCGGAGGAGGAGGAGTTGGGGGGGCGGCATCGACTTGTGTCTCGTTCTTCTTGGGCACGTCGGTGCTGATGTCAGGATTCAGCATGTCCATGTATGCCTGCATGTCTGATATGGCCCCCTCCGACGCACCTGTCACACGGACGCAGCGCAAACAGAAAGGGCAATCAAAACCAGTATTCCCCCCTACCCCCCCTCCCTCCAACAGCCGTATTTAAAGTGGAATGAGCAAACTGTCCACATGCCGGCCACTAGGGCGCAGCACCAGTATAGAAAGCATCTGTAACAGAACCAGAGGAGACTGTTGCGTGTGGTTAGCTCCACTTCAGTAAACAAACGGACGCCCGGCTACTGCCGATGGTCAGGTAAAAGATGGCGGCTGACCTTGATGCGCCGCTGTATTCAGCTGCGCCGGGGGGGCTCGAGGTGTGGTCAAGCTGCTCCTCTTCTCCCCAGTGCTGGACTGACTGGAGTTGGCCGAGTCGTAGTTGGACAGGGAGCTGGACGGTGAACCGATGTCAAAGTGTGCCGCCTGGTTGGCAGGAGGCATGGTGGTGTTAGGGGACGAGAGGCCAGAGTCTGGCTGCTTGTACTCAAGATCCATCGAGGGGTCTCGAGACAAAACACGGTGCTCCACACTCTGTCAGAGAGTGCAGTTCATCAACACAAGAATCTTAACAAATGCCTGGTATTGAGCAATGTGATGATTGGTTATCATTTCCCAACCTCAAATTTGTGTTCTACATCATTCTTAATTGTTTGTTATTTAAACATATGTGCTTCATTTGGTTCAGATGTAAAATAATGCAGCTTCACTTAACAAGACAGATCCATCATTAATAATATAAACTATCCCCAAGTTCAATCATCATCATAAATCCAATTACCCATCTCTCCCCGGGGTCTTCCACGAGGAAGACAGCATTATGAGAATAATTACTGCAAGGTAATGAAACTTTTCACAGCTGGTCAGAAAGCCTCTGGGGCCTTTCACTTGTCCCACAGAGGAAGACCTAAGTGGCTCAACATCCCTCATGACAAAGAGCACAACAAAGAGGACATGTGTTTCCCAGGCACCACCGCTCAGTACGGAGGAGTTATTGTTGTTCCTCACACTCTGGGAGTTTAATTTGTGTGTCCCCATGGAGACCAGTGTGTGTTGAATGTTACACGCTCTAATAATTAGCAGAGAAAATGTGAAATCAATCAACAGACACGGTGGCTCAGTGACAACTACTTATCGTTTTGATTAACGGAATCTCTAAACAATTTAGCTGCCAAGAGAGTAGTAACATAGTCAAGAATTATAATCCCTTTGTCATGTTTTTTTTTACTATATAAAGCTAAGTTAGGATAAAGTTTGGTGATGAAATTTTTAGCGACTTAAGTGTTAAAAGAGAAACATAGCCTACACAAAACTAAAATATAAAATGAGTCATAGAGATGAATCTCTTTTGCCTTGAATTGTGGATGAATCGGGTTCAGTTGTCCTGCAGTAATGCACACCCTCAGATTTACCCCAAAAAAGACAGCTGTGTGTAGGGCATTGGAAATTAACTGTGTTCTGCATACTTCATGCTGTAAACATTTGTTACGTGTGTTGATGAGGCTCAAACTAGCATGCAAAGTAATATTATATTTGTAAGAAACAAACTAGAAAATAACACACACAACAAATCTTCCCTCACATTGTGGGTGATTAACTTTTAAACTCTTACCTTTTAGCACAATCCATTATAAATTTAAGGGTGCATGTGAATAATAAACAGTTCAACAAAAAAGGGATGTAAGACTTGAAGACATTGAATGTTCAATGCAAATGTTACTTTTGCAACAAGTTAATCTCACAGATGTTAACTCAAAGTACACCAGGAGTTGAATGATCAGCATCGGACACTCACCATATTTTCCACTGTGTGCAGGTACTTGGCACACTGAGTGTGGCCGTTGTATTCGGCCAGGTCTGCCCCTGTGAAGCCATCCTGGTCCTTGATGCCCAGGTCAACTCCATTGACCACAAGGATCTGACAGCACTGGAAATCACAAACAGAACGTGTCAGAGGGAAATGACACAATATCATTTTCAAATAGCGATGCCCAAACTAAGTAAAAAACAAATACTGCAAACAACTTCTATTATAACAGGATCCCAGCTGAAGAAAACTTCAGAGCATGGAGATAAAAGCGTAACACACACCTCTAGTTCACCATTCTCTGCGGCATCGTGAAGGGGCGTCCCTCCCCAGTGGTCAGTGACGATCTCTCCCCCATGCAGCAGCAGCCAGCTGAGCACCTTCGCGTGGCCACGACTGGCCGCGAAGTGCATGGCCGTTGCTCCATCACTGTCTCTGTCCGTCAGGCTGATCTCCGTGAAACTCATCTACAAGAGGTTGGCCAGACACTTTATTCAGGCATTTTAGTGGATATTTGAAAATTTTCCGACTCTAAAAGTTAAATGAAATAATCATGCATTTTAACATTTCCTCATCTTCAGCAAGTCAGTCAATCAATCAATCATATTTCACCAAATTTTGATAAGTAAAACAAGCTTAATATTCATTTTTGGCTAAAATGACAAAGCGCCATGACAAATTAAGTTAATTAAGTTGATTGTTAAGATGTGATTTACAGCTTCTGGGCTTTTTTAACATACCAGCCAGACAATGACAGTGTTGTGGCCCATTTGAGCTGCGGCATGCAGAGGTGTCATCCCGTCGTTGGCTCTGATGCTGGGATCCGCCCCGCAGTCCTTGACCAGGTATTGGACAACCTCCAGATGACCCTCCTGGCAGGCCAGGTAGAGCGGTGTGGCACCATTCTTAGTTTGAGAGTTGACAACACTGCCGGTAAACAAAGCAGTGAAGTAAATAAGCATCATGGATGAACTCATAAAAACAGCTTAGTCAGACTATTTTTAAACCTGGGACCAAAGACCTTTAACAGCGACTTAGCTTATTCACCTCTGACTGGATAAAGATAACACCTCCAGGCTCAAAATGTGAAACCATGATCGTGCTACAGTGTTGCTGCAGCCATATTTCGGCATTTCTTTTTTTAACGGTTAGAAATTGTATCTCTTTAAAAATTGTGTTTCCTCTCTTTGCAAATTTCAGGACATACAAGCAAAAAGTAATAGATTAAGATGGCACAAATATACAATGATCAAGAAAATAAAGTTTATTTACTAAAGTTTTGCAGACAATTTGGCGAAAATCTAGATTTAAAGTATCCAAATTCAACACATTTGTAGCTCTTTTACATTTCCTCTAAAATAAATTATATCCACCTTTAACAATATTAGGTCATGAATGGGCAGATTATTTTGTAGAATGTTTTATTTGGAAGGGAAATACGGTTCCAAGCTTTATCTGAAAAAGATGATACACGGGTGCATTCTGAATGCAAATGGCAAATATAGTAATAAATCATTAAATTGATATTTTGGGAATATACAGAAGTGATATTATGCCAAACTGGGCTCTCCCTCTTTCCAACGGCCCTTAGCCCCCTGTTCAGTGCACAGCCCCACCAGACGCCTGTAACCCCTCTTGTCCCAGATCCTCTCTTTAACAGCGGGAGGTCACGGAGTGAACAAGTGCTTCCCCTATTAAATCCCATAAGGTCGTGCTTTATTTGGACTAAGGAGGATTATCAGTCCACTAGCTTTGCCCGACTTGCTTTGCACTTAAAGAGTTGCCAGTGGGCGGGCTGGTAGAAAGCAGAAAAGGAGTAAGGAAGGCCAATGGGATGAACAGCCAGCCACTTTTTGCTTGAGCTACATTAAAGATGTGCATGTCTGTTTGTTCAAACATGAACCGGCATATTTGCTCTGAATCAATCAGGTCCTGTTTTCAGAAAAAATAGACTCCTTTAAAATGCTGGAGTCTCAAACATAGCTTTCCTTTCAGGAAAGACACTGGAGACCTGTTTGGATCATTTGAACAAAGGTTCCAAGAAATTAAGAGACTGAACATCTAAAAATAAGAAGAGGAAGCAATCTGCTATTCTGTCATCAGGAAGTAGGCATACTAATCAATCATTTATGCATGTAACTAAAGCAGGATGCACTTCACCTGCGATAAGTAGCCCGTGTAGGAGAAAAGCATCCTATTTTGCCAATACTAAATCTTCTCAGAGGAGTGTGTTCAAGGTTGGCTACCATCCTAAGAAAGCACACCCTGCAGTTTCCACAGCTCCTCAGTGGAAGAGGCTTAAGCACTCTTTAATAAAGAAGCGCTTTTGGAGGAGTACAGGTGTAAGTTTCAAAGGGCTAAGAAAGAGGTTAGCTTTGTTTGAAAACACAGCCAACAAGTGGCACAAAGGATCGAAACCTTGCCAGTCCCTTCAGGACAAAAAAATAACTCCTACCGAAGCCAGAGACATTTGATATGTCCCCAGTTCAGCTTCGACGAGCATTTTACCCCACTAATAGTCTGTCCAGTGTTCTCTTCCTTCTCCCCGTAACAAAGACCAACATTATCTTCATTACTAGGAAACTAATTGATGTAGCACTAATGACCCTCTTGTCCGATGAAGGTTCGTGACCGGCTCAGTGCTTTTTCCCCCCATTTAAATAATGGAGAATGTTGTGGGAGAATGTATATGCTTTCTTTTGACTGCTGTGAATTGTGTACGCTTGAAGCTATTTTTCAGAATTGTCCACAGCCCAAACGCAAATGTTTTCAGAAAAGACATGATTTTATGATTCTGCCTTCGCCTTATAAAGACTTAGAATGACCTCCACATTTTTTTAACATATGAAAAAGCTACATTTCCCTCAATCGTATTGCTCACAGGCCTCCGCAAATGTGGTTGGGGACATTTCATGTGTGCCCAGAGGTAGGTCATTTTACGATCCAGCCACAGTCAACATGATCTAAGCAGTAACAAACTGCCACATTAAACTGCATTACTTTAAAGCTCTTGCCCGTTTAAAGCTCTTGCCGTGAAACAGAACTGAAAGAGGCTTTTATCCAATTTGTACCAAGAAGTTATTAAGAAGATTAAAGTTGAAGAACGTAGGTGGAGCTGAGCCTCTGACACTTATTTACCCCTTTCTCTCTGAGCTAAAAAAAACTAAAAAACTCAAAACTTAAAGCTGGGAAACTGCATAAAGACGCACTCATCTTATCTGTGCATGTATTTTAAACCTGTACCCAACCCGAATGGGGTTGAATTCCCGATTCATCTTGAATGTGACTTAAACATCAAGTCATTCTTATGCTTGTTTCAGTAACAAAAGGGAGAATATCAAAAAGAAGACATGATTGATTAGATCATTTATGATTGCATATTACAGCCGCACAGTGTTTGAGCCTCAGATGTCTTTTCTGGATTATGTTGATGCAGAAGTGTACCTTTTTCCAACAGTGTAATGGAACTGAATCCATGCCAAAGATCTTAATCAGCTCTTATTGGTTACATAACCTGTCTGCAGCTCCACACTTGCTTTCACCATCTCTCCTTCATTCATTCCTTTGTGTATCGAGGCTATCAGCACCAGCGCAGGACATTAGGCGTTTTGTTTTGGCTCACTGGGATGGCTTGGTGAATGAGCCACCAGTTCAAACTAAAAATACACAGACAAATACACACCCAGAAAAGCTGTGATTGCATAAGTTGAACATAGCAGACAAATACTGCAGCGGTTTCATAGTTAGCCGTGTTTAATCTTTTTACCCAGTCACCGAATAGCTGTAAGTAGCAGCTATGTTTCAGTCGAACATGTCCAGGTTCCTTAAAATTCTCTTGGTGGATATAAATCACAGGGAAGATATAGTATATTGTCTTCCAATGAAACCGGGAGGAAACGGGGAGTCTTGAAAACAGCAGCAGGTAGAAGATGAATGATAACGACACTGAAATTCACATTTGAATTCATACGGAACAGATGAGACTACAGATGGAGTCGATCAACCCAACACGCTCCTCTAAGATCCTGACCATCCATAAGTACGACGCAAAATACTACTTGAAAAAAGATTAAAACTTGCTTAAAGATGATATAAAATTGTGCTTTCTCTGTACACACTTCGAGTAGCATGAAACTAATATAGAGGCCTTAACAGTCTGAAATGAAACCTTAAAGCTTTTTCCTTAAAGAGAAAAACAACCACCTGTCAGTGTATTCAATGTAACTCTGCTGTCAAACTTTAATGATGTTGCACTATCATTAAGCTGCTTGTTACTAAAGTGATGATGCAGCCCTGAGATTCATCTTATCTGTGTGTTTTTTCCAGGCAGAACAAACTGTGAGCGGCTCCTTTGAAAACACGCCGACGCAAAATGAGCATCTGGGGACAAACTGTGAAACGAGAAGGCTATCTCTGCCCTGCAAAGTTCTTCTCCAAACAATGCCCGAAGGCCGGACAGAAGCCCGCCTATTGAAATGGATTTGTTTTTTCCTCATTATCTTATCAGCACTTGGTGCTTCAGCGCGTCGCCGTGGAGACGGTGGTAAACAGCGGAGGTGGGCGGGGCGGCGCAGGACAGAGAATGGGGCCAGGCTATCAGGGAGCTGCCGTGTCCCTGGGGCTCATTAAATTTTCAGCAGGTATGCACCTGTCTGGGGTGCGACCGCACAATATTGGAGAGTTAGCTGTCGGCGTCAAAACAATTCAAAACACACGACGGTTGGCAGTCGTAATCAGAATGGGAGCAGTGAGCAATCGTTTGTGACAGATACAGTAAAGGTTAATGCTAAATGAATACTAAGATGGAAAAACAAACCAAGCAGTAACCTTGTTAATGAGATGCTCCTGAGGAATAACTCAGCATGTCCTCTTTAAATGAATACAGTGAATATAATCTATCAACATACATTTCCACTCTATCAAAACCAATCTGCACACACGGCCCACATATGACTTCACACCACTGATTGAAAGATCATAATCTGGGGAAAGTGCAAATGTACTAGTCTTCACAGATCTTAAAACAATTCGGCGATTAACAATATTCAAGATGTGTGGAAATATTTCAAACTCTGCTCACAAGAGTCTGTTTTTTGTTTTGGCCATTAATCAAGCTATAAATTCCCAGATTTGGTTGTGTGCTCCAGTTTGCCAGGTAGTGCCCACCATGGAAGCTACAGCACATATTTCATGATGTCCATATCAGAAGTGGATGATTTGCTTCATTTCATGGCTTCGCTTTATGGACGCAGCCTGTGTGAGGCTGTTTAAACACCACAAGGACACAAGTTTAATCCTCAAAGCATTGAATGAAACTGTTTGCACTGTCTATGCTGAGTAGGTATTAAGCATATGCAAACATCATGAGCTCACTGAGTGTAGAGGCTTTCTCACTACTTCTGAGCGGGTCATGTGGATATGACTTTATAAGCCCAAATATGAAGAACAGCCAAGTCAGTCGTTGATTTGCATTCTTTTGGCACTGACCACTTCTTAACACATATGACCACCCAAGTGTAAGAATGAAATGCTACTAAAGAATGGCATAAATGGATATGAATGGAATATCTTGCCTAAATATCATGTATTGTTTGGAAATAATATGTTCCCAAAACTTCCTAAGAATCCTTCATGTGACCAGACTAGAACATTACAAATGGCAATAAATGCACAGTAAAAAAAAACGAGGCTACAGACATAACTTTGTTGCTCTTACTTTGGGCTGTGCCCCAGCAACAGACGGAGAGAGGGCAGGTCTCCCTTGGAGGCGGCGTAGTGGACGGGTATAGCGCCCGTATCGGTACACGCTCCGGTGTCCACCTCGCCACTCTTCAGCAGCCATTCGGTGACTTCGTGGTGACTGAAACGAGATGCAAGGTGGAGAATGGTGGCACCAGAGCTGTCCCTGTCCTGCAATTCAAACAAAGAGAACACAATAGGTTTGTTATTACTGTAAAAAAAAAAAACACATAAAATAATGTAATGGCAAGGAGACAATGATTTAAAAAACAGCATTAGACTCAGAATGTAGCAGTCATTTTTCTGGAGAACAGATAAGTTTAAACATTTTACTGATATTTCAATGGGATTCATTTGCATATTTCTCTCAAATAGCAACAGGAGCATACACTGGAAACTAAGCAAACCCGAAAGTTCCTCTTTCACACTTCCCTCCAAAATGTGTGTGGCCGCCTGACCCATTCACAATCACTGTGTTTTAACCAGTTGGTGAACATGATTTCAATACAGGGCACGTTTGAAACAATAAGACTTACTGACTGACTAATTCCCAGTTACTCATTTGTAGTCATCCCCCAGCAAACGAGTTCCAACTAATCATTCATGTGTTCGATTGTATGAGTGGGTGAACCCACTATGTCACCAGGCTTATAGCGTTTGTAAGGGAGCGCTGCAGCCTCATAACAGCAGTTCTATGAACCATAAAAAATGTATTTGCTTTATAAGACAGGAAATCAGCCTTTGCTGTGCTCTAATTTTTTTTTTATTCACTGGGAGCACAACATCTCCTATAAAAATGACATTAAGAGTGTTCAAATTCATTCTTTGTGGAAATCAACATCGTTCTCAATGATTCGACCCCAGCTCTGAGACAAAAGACACAAAAGAGAAAAAAGTGTTCTTCAAACCCACTGCTTTAATAAATGTCAGCTAAATATATATATTTTTTCTTAGAAACAGAGACACATGTAGACCAAAGAAAATCATCTCTCAAAGTTGTAAGGTGCATAAATTATTTTCAGTCTTTCTCAGACAACATGAATGTACACATGCTGTAGCTCTTACTAAGACTAAAACTCCTTCAAAACTTATTTTGTGTTTCCTGCTGGGTGTGAACACTTGTGAGCAGGAGGTTTAATCCATCATGTGAGGGTTTAACTATTACACCACCAAAGCGCCCAAACATCAAGCTCTGCTGATATTACATATCAGTTTTGTGACCATAATTAATCATATTATGGGCTGTATAAAGAACATCACCTATGTAAATCCAGTTTTGCATACCTTGTTACCATGGAAACACAATCCAGCATACAGTAGAGAGTTTCAACCTGGTGTGAAAAGTCTAATTCCAGTGGAGTTCCTTATCCTTACAGCTGACTGGACTGTGTTATTCTGTAAGTAGGTTACTCTATTCATTGTTCATCAGAATTCAATGTTTGTAATCAGCACGTTTGACTAAAACAACAACAGAATTGCATTCATGGGCTCTTGTAAAGGACCTCTTTTTTCTTCTTGAGGCAGTGCGTTTTTGTGGACACCAAGATGCTGCATCATTTATTGCCATTTCTCCATCCTTAGTCAAGCTATGGATTATCTGACTGGTCGCCAAAGGGCTGTTGGTTTTTAACATGTGAATGACTGGTGCCCTGATGAGTTGTGTTCACACAATTCCAGACTGTATTAAGACAAGCATTTGCCAACATCAAAACAACCCCCGTAAAAAACTTAAGTCACCCTTGTGGCATTCTGTTCATATCCATCTATCGTCCCAGAGCTGGTCTAAATATTTCAGCACGTTTTCATCGTTTGCTCCAAACATAAAGTTAGGATGCGCACGGAATGTGCACGCTCACCCAAATTGAGCTTAAACCGGGACAGTGCGGCGCTTCAACTGGTTCAACTGCAGATTAACTCACTTACCTCTGCCCGACATCCACCCTGGGTCAGCAGCCACTGTAAGCAGGCCAGGTTGCCGGTGGCGGCCGCGTCGTGCGCCGGCGTGGCCCCGTTGTTCGCCAGGCAGTTGCCCGCGAGTCCCGCTTCCTCCACCAGGAAGCGCAGGCAGGTCAGCTTCCCGGCCCTGGCTGCGTGGTGGACGGGCGAAGCCCCCAGCACGTCCCTGGTGTCGTCGTTGAGGACTTTGGCCGCTAATTGCACTTTCAGAGTCTGCACGTCCCCCTGCCGCGCGGCCAGCAGCGTCCTGTCGCTTTCCGCCACCATCACTGCGCCCGGCCCGACTCCGTCCTCTAACTTCCTCCGTTGACCCCGATTAGTTCGCCCGGATGGAAGGGGTCAGCATTGTATTTATAAAGCCTGAGATCATGTCACTCACCCGGTTAGCTCTCTGGGTAAGTTTGGCTAACGCTCCATGGGTCTTTACGCAGCGATGGCCAAAGGCAAGATCCGCCTCAGAAGCAAATGCGCGTAAATCTTTCACATCTTAAGGTAAAACACACCTTACTCTTCATTATTCTAAAGAAGAGACGACTTCTTCCTTTGTGGGATGGTATGGTTTAGTTACCCATTCCTGTCAAACCCACGCTGGATCCTCCTGAATTCCTGTTGCTCGACTCCTGCCTCGTCCAATCACCGACTCGTGCGAAGTTCTGTGCCTTCTTTTTTCCCCACCTAACTGATATCGCGCAGCGTGTATACCTCAGAGAATATTTCGTGGTGTTTTTCTTCCCATAGCAGATGGCAACATGGGACTCAGCACCTGTTAAATAATCCAGCAAGGGGAGGATCGTTGAGCCAGTTACAAGTTGGTGCTCTGACAATCCGCTCAGAAATTAAAGGAGCAGTGCGCACAGGCGACCGGAAACTTTGAGTTAGACCAAACAGAGACAAGAGAGCGGAGGTGTCCGCGGGTTTTGAACCACAGCTTTACAGTAATTCAGAAACAGACTTTTTGAATACACGCCCTGACCAGTTTGCATGCAGCTTTTTCGGGCATTACATTTACATGCGGCAGTGAAATCAGCATCACCGGACACCTGCTGTTGGAACATGGCAGAGGTCCATCTGCTGGCCTTCTGCAAGACTGTACCACTCCCAGTAGTAGCCAGATATTCAGACATATGCAGACATTCACTAACTTATTTAATTACTGTGTGATATTGCAGTGGTTTTTTTGTTATGGTAAATCAAAACTACCTTAAATAATAATGCAAATAACTAACAAAGTTATTTATACTGACAGTGTATATTGAAATGCTGTTTTTCATGGAAGTTTAAAAAAAATTCTGTTACTTTGGTTTAATTTGCTGCAGATTCAAATCATTTCCAAATCTCAGAAAAGAAAGCACCTAATTTTACTTTTAGGGGTCCAAACCTGTCACTGGGGTGGTACCCTCAGCAATCCTGCTGTTTTACCAACTCCTTTGTCGATTTACTACTTGAGAACAAAAGTGAACTTTTCAGAGCCCACAGGTGGAAAAAAATGTGCTATGGGATCCTGTTTGAGCCACATCAGGTAAGTCCAGAGAGTAGAGCACATATGGATGTGCTCCTCTCATGTTCCTATTTGTGACAGTGAAGGATGCAGGCAGTAAGAGATAAATTAAGAGGTTAAGTAATACAACTAATAATGTGATGACTAATTTACTCCAGCAATGCTCTGAATGGGTTTTGATCACAATATTCCAGTTGTACTCTTCAGCTGTTATGTGCACAGATTTACCTAAACCATCATTCTATCATCTCACTCAGTACTTTACTCCATCACTGAACAGTGATGGTTGTATAAGTTTTCTATTAATTTATGTGACAGAAACAGACACAGATAGAAACAGTCTACTTTATGGCTTTCTTATAGTACATTGACATACATTTACTATTTACTCAGTAAATGGCTGTATAAGTTGGAATTTCTTAACTTTAAAGTGCATTTTTGCATTAATTGTTTTTGGTGTGGTGATATAATTTGTTCTGTGGTTCCCCTTACTGACCCAGCTTGTGCAGCAGTGGTTTTCTGACTGGGAGGAGGCCAGAGTAACTGGACACACCACACAACACACATAAAGAGAATATGTGCACAGACATATCTGAAGGATTTGAACCTGGAGTCCTCTTGCTAACGCAAATGTTCCAACCACCCCACCCCTGTGCAGCCGCGTTTAGTAACTCAAAAATGTGGCCAACTAATTTAAATATGCACGGAAGTATGGACTGACTGACGGGTTGTGAGGATGAAAATCGTACTGACTTATTGTTCTATGAACTGTAGTACTTTTCATCACCAAATGGTGGCATGAAAGCCTCATATTCTGCAGAGTACCTCCACCTGTAGAGGTGAGAAGCAGTCAAGTCTTCATTTTGGGCTCCTTTAAATCACAGCTGTGTCATTAGAGATGAATGAGAACGAGAATGATCAGAATCTAACGGTTATTCTAGTCCCAGAAGCTTAAAGACAAAACCAGACACACAAATCGTCAAATGTCCTTTAGGCTGCTGCTTTGAGACATAGTTAGTTATTCAAAAAACAAAAGAAATTTAAGCAAAAAGCAGGCAGAGTTTCAGATCAGATATCTGGAAATCTGGGGAAAGGATTTATTTTAAAAAATCAAGAAATAAAATCTAAATAAGAAAAAGAAGGGATAGGTGTTTATCGTTCCTATTTGCTGTTACAGGCTGATTGATATTTCAGCTCAAACAGGGCTGGTTAGGGGTGGGGAGGAGGGGGGGTCTGTTGTGGCTCGTGCTCGGCGCGTGCCTCTTCGGCCCATCTGTTGCAGTGGTCTAACTGTCATAGACACCGCGCGCCAATTTGGGGGAGGGGAGGGGTCATTCCCACGAGCTGTCTGACAAGGGCAGCTACAATTCCCCAGAGGAAGTAGACAATGAAGACCCTCTAACAAGCTCCAGGGGAGCCCCACCTCAGAGCCAAGGAGCTCAGCATATAGACCCAGTCTACAGTCTACGTCCCATCACAGGGAGGAGAGCCTACCTGTTACCTTATCTGTACTCACACACTTCTTGGCTTTCATAAAAGTTTTTATTTATTGTATCACTGTATGTTTATTCACCTAATTTCTAATTTAAAGCCTGATATCCCCTCACTGGGAGAAAAAGTTACAATATTATCGTTGTAACAAAAGCTTTATTTATTTATGTGTATGATTATATAAAAAACAAACACACACAAAAACAAATATATGGGCTCCATATATATATACTGGAGCCCATATAAATTTATAAATAAATACATAAAATATATATATACTGGAGCACATATATGTGTTTATATATGTATATATATATATATATATATATGTATGTATTTATTGGAGCCCATATATTTGTTTGTGTGTGTGTACATAATCACTTCTTGTTAAGAAACCTGGTATGTAGCCTATTCTTTCTTCCAGCCCTCATTCCCCTGTTGGGCCCAGACAAAGGCTTTTCTCGGGGCAGCAGCAGCCTGTAATGATGGCTTTGACGCGGGGTTTAATCAACGGTTGTGGTCGGGGGCTTTTCCCAGGCTTCCTCAAAGACTTTCCCACAACCCGAGGCCAGCGTGGAGCTAAATCCCCCATTGAGGCTTCCAACGGCTCCCTGCGGGCTGGGAAGGCTGGCTTATTTCTTGCACGCGTCCGAAGTGCGACAGTTATTCAAATCGCCCTCCATTATGCAGCGCGTGGGCCTCATCTATTGTACGTGCACATCTGCTGCTGCGCGCGCGGGAACCTTCAAACCGGGACGTTGTCCCCTCAAGTTCCTGCCTTCTTGTATTTTGACAACACACGATTGGTTTACAATAGAGGGATAAACTAAGGCTGGCTACAAAAAAATATGGTTTAAAAACAATATGGTTGATTAGTTTAAAAAAAAAAAACTCAAATCTGTCCTTCTTATTCTCACCATTGTTTCTGTTGACTAGACGCTCTTTTTTAATACCTTGGCTTTTTTTTTTTTTTTTTAATTGATCTCCAACCGTCACATCTATAATTTTTGTCTGCAAAACCCCCACCATGACTATTAGAAAAACTACCTTTGGCCGTATATTCAATTAATAGCAGCCTATATGTTTAATGTATTAAAAAAAAAAAAAAAAAGATTTTATTATATGTTTTATTTCTAAGGTTTCTTGGGAGACCAAAAGCGTCAGTTGTATTTTTTTTAAACCCAAAAGGAGCGGGTCCACATGCAGGGCTGCCCAAGCTTACTCAGAACAGAACAGCCCCCTTGCGCCGGTCAGCAGTGACCCAGCTGGTCGGCGCGTGCCACGGACTAATTGTTTTGCCTGAGTTATGCTGGGCTCGTGCAGGGGGGGGGGGGTCAGCCCAGAGCCACAGGAAAAGACTGTCTAACATACCCAGAGACAACTCATATGGAACACGCTGTACATTCAGTTTGTTTTGTTGTAGTTACACCCTGTTGTTGTGCATAAAAAGACACCACACACACTTTAAAAAATCACTTTATTGAGCAGCTGAATGAAGACAAACACACAGAGAGGAAAAGTCTTTATTGATACATCCCATTCCCCAAATACAAATCCCTTCCTTGTGGCCTACATTTTAAATACATTTTGAAGCATCAACACTTGAAGGCCTTATCTCCTTATTAAATGAATGTATTATTATTTCCTATATGGATGTTTGCTTACGATGAAAATAAAAACCTATGTGCAGTTTTACATTTTCAATGATGTTTATTTCAGTTATGTTTTATCTACACGACCAAATATAAGACAAAGGCAGTTTTAACAGTTATTTGCATATAGATGTTTATATAGATATTTTTTCTGTATAAAACTCAGACAAGTTTGCAGTGAAATAGGATTCCTTAAAAAATTGCAAGGTGCATTAATCAGAACTGCGTTTAAAAAAATGAAAAGGTATTAATCAGATACTGTTTTCACTTGATAAAGTTGATGAATATGATTAAAACCTGACATTTGAACAAACAAGTCTGTTTTTGTTTTTTCACAAATGCAGCCGAATGTAGATACTGTGATAAAGACTATCCAGATCTCATTAAGATTATGAAACTTAATGAGAAACATTATGTTCTGATTTAAACCCAAAAACAGATGATTGCATTCTTTAATCAAAGTTTGTAGTATCTTGTTTGTTTTTTTAAATTCATATCAAACAAATGCAGCAAGAGACTAATATACAAACAGCAAGTCAAATCAAGGCTATGTCATCTAGATGATTTTCTCTTTTCTTCTCTGTCTTGAGGGACATCTTACACGTCATCTGTGTTCTTGAACTCACCGTGTGGGCATGCTCTCAGAGAACCGGTCATCCGTGAGCTGTGGTGAGAATTTCTGTGGTCAGACTTTCTCACAGTCAGGCCCATCAGCAGCAGACAATAACAGGACTAATAATCTGACATGCCATGAGTTTAAACAATGCCACACAGACAGGCTTAGAGCTCAAAGAAGTCCTCAGACCTCTGTATGATGTAATATAGGTTGGAAGTCATGTGTTTGGATGGACATCCTGTTTGATTTTCCTTTAGCTGACACACGATCAAGTAAATGATGTTGCTATCTAACAACAGCAAATAATACCATCTATTAATAATCAATCCAAATAAATGAAAAATGAATACATGAAATAGCTGATTATTTGTAAACATTTAGTTGGATTACATATGGACATGGTGTGACAACATTCTGTCTTAAAAATAATAACAGCTACAATTTAACCACAAAAGGCCAAAGCTATACGGTCACACGATTTCTTATTTAACCTTTATTTAACCAGGAAGTCCCATTGAGATTCAGAATCTATTTTTTCAAGAGAGACCTGGCCAAGGTAGCA